AACCATGTTGGAGGAAGGGATTGGGATGGATCAGCCAGATCTTGGGTGGAGATGTTGGGGAGGGTGTCAGAGTCATGCAGATGAGTTCACAGCTACCACACAGCTGCTACATGCACACATTTCCCTAGAGTGCCCCTGCTTCACCACTGTTCCGCAGCCACTCTCCCTGCTCCTACTCCTCTCTCCTTTCGTGATTTCAATGGATTTCGACGAATTTTGCTCTGTGCTGCTGCCCCTTGCACACACCAGTCCCCACCCCTCTACCCTGTCTTGTGAATGTTGGTGATGGGTTTTGGACTTGATCACTCTCTGGTGATTGGGTCACATGATCACCTGATTCCATCTGATCTTATCACTGATGATATCTGATTCCATCACTGTTCCCATCATTCCATCATTTTGGTCACATGACTTCTGGTCACATGATTTGTTGATAAAATGGCTGAACTAGGAATTGAACCTGGGACCTCTGACTTGGATCGTCCAGTGCTCTAACCACTGAGCTATTCTGCCTTGGTGCTGGGATTCCCAACTCCAACATGATTCCTATACAGTCACATGCTCCATCCACATAGATAGTTCTTGCCTCCCTGGAGTTCTTTAGCTTCTCACTGTTGACTCCAGGTCTGTAGATTCTTTTCTTGTCTTGTCTTGCAATGTAGAGCTTCTTACTGTTGACTCCAGTCCTCTCTGCATTTCCTGCTAGCGTATGCTGAGACTCACTGGGGGCTGAAGATCAAAGCCTTCCAGGATGATAAAGGAGGAGAGTACATGTCTAATGAGTTCAGATCACATCTGGACAAGTGTGGCATTGTGCACCGCCATTCAGTCAGGGCACGGCCTCAGCAGAATGGAACAGCAGAGCGGTCTAACCGCACCGTTGATGAGCACTCGACTGCCATGTTACACAAAGCCAACCTGCCCCCTGCATTCAGGGCACTGGCGGTGTCGGCATACATCCATGTGTGCAACATGCACCCCACAGCTTGAGACCCCACCAGGACTCCCCATGAGCTGTGGTTCAAGGCAAAGCCTGATGTGTCTCATCTGCGTGTTTGGGGACGCCTTGCCTATGTGCATGTGCAAAGAGACAAGAGAGGTCCTTCTGGGCATCATGTCCAGAAGTGTATCTTTGTAGGCTATCCTGCAGGGTACAAGGGATGGTTGTTCTTCAACCCAGAGACTCGGAAACTCGTGATCGCTGAGAGAGCAGTGTTTGATGAGCGCTACTTCCCAGGCAGTACCCCTCAAGCTATGAGGAGCTGTTCTGCGGCACCCCCCTCCTCCATGCTGGTGGATCCCCCTCGTGCTCCGGCACCGGTGTATGTCCCTGAGGACGATGGTGATGATGAGCAGCAACAGCCGCCTGCTTGTCCTCTCCCTGCACCACGAGTTCCCTCTCCTGCAGCCAGCAGTGATGATGAAATCGACTTTCTACGTCGAGCTCCACCACCTCCATCTCCACCACCAGCTGGGGATGCCCAGCTTCACCCTCCACCCTTGCCTCCTCCTCCCCAATCTCCAATTGGGGTGGCAGCTCGTCGTGCTGCTGCTGGCATCCATCGTGTCCCTGCACCACCCAGGAGGGCTCTAGCTCCGGCTGCTGCTCCTCCCAGGCGCACCATGGCAGAGATCTTTGAAGAGATCCCTGAAGACCTCAGCGACGATGAGCTGCTTCTAAAGTCATCCTCTGCCCTCATTGTGGCTCGTGAGGGTGACCCCTCAGATCCCAAGCTGGCAGCAGCTCACGCTACTGCAGTGCAGTCCGTGTTGTCTGCTGTAGCCTCTGGGAACCCCCGGTCGTTCTTTGAAGCGTCCAAGCGGGAGGATGGTCCACTATGGCGCGCTGCAGCTGCTTTGGAGATTGACTCTCTGCTCAGCAACTGCACATGGGATGTGGTCGACTTGCCACAGGGGGTCAAGCCAATCCGCTCTCAATGGGTGTTTGTGATCAAACACAAGTCTGATGGCACTGTGGAACGCTACAAAGCCAGACTCGTGGCAGATGGTCGTGGCCAGCGCTATGGCATTGACTACCACGAGGTGTTTGCACCCACCTTCAGACCTGCTACTCTGCGCGTCATCCTTGCTCTTGCTGCCCAGAACAACCTCAAGTTGCGCTCCATCGACTTCTCTTCTGCCTACCTCAATGGGGACCTGGATGAGGATGTCTACATGACTCAGCCAGAAGGGTTTCCCCAGGGAGAGAAGGGCCAGGTCCTGAAACTGAACCGGTCCATCTATGGGCTGAAGCAGGCTGGCCGGCAGTGGCGCATCAAGTTGGTTGCCAAGCTGACTGCTATGGGGTTCAAGTGCATCAAGTCAGACAACTCCTGCCACATATATTCCGATGGTGTGGTGCGCGTGATCCTGCCCATCTATGTTGATGATGACACCATTGCTGCAAAGCATGATGCTGACATTGACAGGGTCATTGCCCAGCTGGGTACGGCCTTCAAGGTGCGGGATCTGGGTCCTACAGAGTGGCTTCTGGGAATCAAGATAGAGCGTGATGAGCAGACTGGAGACATCAGCATCTCCCAGCGCCAGTATGCTGTGAACCTCCTGGAGCAGTATGGCATGGCTGACTGCAAGCCTGTGGACACCCCCATGCTGCCTGGCCTGTCTCTGACCAAGGAGATGGGAGCCAAGACTGAGGAGGAGTCCAAGCAGTTCAAGGGCAACTAACTTTCTGCTGTTGGCTCTCTGATGTACCTGGCCTGTCAGACTCGCCCTGACATCTCTTATGCTGTGGGGGTGTTAGCACGCTTCAATAGCAATCCTGGTGAAGAGCACTGAAAGGCTGTCAAGCACCTGCTTCGATACATCCAGGGCACCCTTGACTTCCGCATCACCTACTCCAAATCCTCTCCCACCCTCTATGATCCTGCCACCCACATCCATCCTGACAACCTCTTCACCACCTTCACTGATGCTGATCATGCTGGAGACAAGGACTCCATGAAAAGCACTGGAGGGTATGTCATTATGATGGCTGGTGGACCAGTGAGCTGGAGGAGCAAGCTGCAGTCCTGTTGAAGCAGGAAATGCAGAGAGGACTGGAGTCAACAGTAAGAAGCTCTGCATTGCAAGACAAGACAAGAAAAGAATCTACAGACCTGGAGTCAACAGTAAGAAGCTGAAGAACTCCAGGGAGGGAGGAACTATCTATGTGGATGGAGCATGTGACTGTATAGGAATCATGTTGGAGTTGGGAATCCCAGCACCAAGGCAGAATAGCTCAGTGGTTAGAGCACTGGACGATCCAAGTCAGAGGTCCCAGGTTCAATTCCTAGTTCAGCCATTTTATCAACAAATCATGTGACCAGAAGTCATGTGACCAAAATGATGGAATGATGGGAACAGTGATGGAATCAGATATCATCAGTGATAAGATCAGATGGAATCAGGTGATCATGTGACCCAATCACCAGAGAGTGATCAAGTCCAAAACCAATCCTCAACAGGGTGATATCCGTGATTTGCATAGAACGGCAATATTTTGGTAGACGTGTTCATTTTGTCATTATACGCAAACTCGGCCATTCCCAGTCACTCTAACCAATCCGTCTGATGGTAACTGACATAGCTACAGAGATAGTGCTTGATCTCCTGATTTATGTGCTCTATCTGCCCATCAGTGAACAGGTGATATGCGGTCCCTGGATTCATTTCCATGCCCAACATCCGATTCATCTCCTTCATGAAGCCTTTGATGTATCGTGAGTCCCTGTTGGTGATGATCTTGCGAGGGATCCCATGATAGCGGAAGACTCGGTCCCTGGTTAACTGTGCTACTCCTTTGCTGCTGATGTCAGTACTAATTGGTTCAACATAGATCATTTTGGTGAAGGTGTCACACCACACATGAATTGCATTATACCCATTACTGACCGGCAAGGGTCTGATTTGATCCATGGAGATGATTTCCCACGGCGCGTTTGGAACTGCATACGGGTGTAAAGTCCCCATTCTTGCTCTTCTGGTCTTAGTCCGTTGGCACGCCTCGCACGTCTGGATGTATTTCTGAATTTGGTTTCCCATCCTAGGCCACCAGTAGCTCCTTTCCACCATCTCCTGCGTTCAGTTGATCCCTGCGTGTCCCACTAGGGGCGTGTTGTGGTATAGCCCAATGATCTTGTCCTACAACTCCTTGTCTCTTGGTACATAGAGCTTCCCATGGTACATGATGAGTCCATCTTCCTTTTTCCATCCAATGAGCGACTTCTCCAAGGCCGCCTTGACGCTTCCATCAATTGATCGGACGGCCTTGATCTTTTTGACCAGCTGCTGATCTTGCCCTTTGAATGTGACTTCTTGCAATCGGAAGAACTCGGGCTTCAGCAGGGTGACATCCTTGTTGTTGTTCTTGCCCTGGTCGTGATCTGCTCATCAAGATAGAAGATCTGCCTTGCGGTTGAGTGCACTGGGCCAGTGTTGTAAGGTGAAATCAAACTCTGTCAACTCCGTGATCCATCGTGCTTGCTGTCAATTGAGTTTCCGCGGCTTCCGGAAGTACTCAAGATTCTGATGATCGGTGAAGATCTTGAACGTTTCTGTGGCTCCCAGCAGTAACTGCCTCCATGCGTCCAATGATAGCATGATTGCGAGCATTTCCTTGTTGTAGCTCTCGTAATTTTGCTTGGTTTTGGTCAATGCGTGTGAAATAAACATGATTGGGCGCCAAATGCCATCTTGGTTTTGGCTCAAAACAGATCCTGTTGCCCCTTCCCAAGCTTCGGCTTCCAGACAATATTGGCCGGTGTCATTTGGCAGTGCTAGGACCACATCCTCTGTGATTCTCTTCTTCAATCCATCAAATGCCGCATGCTCATCTGTACCCCATGACCTGTTGAACACAGAAAACACAGATAGGAGCTGCAGGAGGCTAGAGGCACAGATGGGAGGCGAAAAGCCCAGTAGGTCACATTGATCTGATGCTATATACTATGCGTCACAGAGTATTGTCACACCCTTTGTCCGAACCAAGCACACCCAATATCCACACATCAACACTCCCACCCTTGGGAGGACAAAGCAATCCAGAAACCCAGCCACTCCCACCCAACTGAGACACTCCCACTCCCACCCAATTGAAATCCAACAGATCCTCGAAAATCCGGACAGCCCCTGCACCCAATTCGAGTCTTCTTCAGCATCCAGGTCAGAGATCCAGCAGAGATCCAGGAAGATCTAACAAGATCTGGCTAATCCACCAAGATCCAACAAGATCCAAGGGGATCCAACGCGATTTTCGACCTTCACAAGACAGGGTAGGGTGGTGGGGACTGGTGTGTGCAAGGGGAAGAAGCACAGAGCGAAATTCGTCGAAATCCATCGAAATCAGCAGAGGAGGGAGGGGTTGGGAGCAGGGAGAGTGGCTGAGAGAGAGTAGTGAAGCAGGGGGCACTCCAGGAATGTGTGTATGCAGCAGCTGTGTGATAGCTGTGAACTCATCTGAATGAATCTGAAACTCTCCCCAACATCTCCACCCAAGATCTGGCTGATCCATCCCAATCCCTTTCTCCAACATGGTTGTGCAGGTAGATGAGGTCGAAATGGTGGTCCTGGAGGTGGCAGATAGTGGCAGATAGTGGCAGAATGAAGATCAGGCAGGATCGGAAAAATGCGCAGCAAGGGGAAGGCCAATGAGGGGCAGGGGGAGAAGAAGAGAAGTTATAGATAGGTCAGAGCGGGGCCCATAACCTGTTGAACACAGAAAACACAGATGGGAGCCGCAGGAGGCTAGGGGCACAGATGGGAGGCAAAAAGCCCAGTAGGTCACATTGATCTGATGCTATATACTATGCGTCACAGAGTATTGTCACACCCTTTGTCCGAACCAAGCACACCCAATATCCACACATCAACATGACCATCCTGCCTTCCCTGTCAGTTATGTCAACGGCTTGGCGACCTCCGCATATCTCCGGACAAAGCGCCGATAGAAGTTGGTGAAGCCTAGGAAAGCTTGTACTTATTTGACGCTCTTTGGTTCTGGCCATTTCATCACGCCCTTGATCTTGACTGGGTCCATCCGCATCAAATTGTGTCCAATAATTACACCCAAATATTCAATTTTCGTGCGTTCGAACTCGCACTTTTTGGGTTTCAGGTACAGCTTGTGTTTATGGAGCAATTTGAGTACTTGTTTTGTGATCCGCTGATGTTCATCCAAGTTCTCCGTGAAGATCAATATATCATCAAGATAAACTACCACGTGACCCTTGTCGATTAGTTCTCGGAGTATGTTGTTCATCATGTTTTGAAAGGTTGCCGGGGAATTCGTGAGACCAAAGAACATGACCAAGGGCTCATACAGTCTGCGGTTCGTGCGGAACGCAGCCTTCCACTCATCGCCCTCTTTGATCCGTACGTTGTTGTATCCCCACCGGATGTCAAGCTTTGTGAAGAACTTGGCGCCGCATAGGTTGTGGACCAGCTCAGAGATCAGTGGCAGCAGGTATCAATTCCGGATTGTCATTTCATTCAGCTTCCAATAATCTTGTACGGGGCGTAGCAAGCCATCCTTCTTCTTGACAAAGAAGAATGCTGATGCCATGGGTGATTTTGATGGTCTAATTTGTCCGCTGGCTAGGTTCTCTTGTAAGAACTCATTGAGTTTGACCTGTTCGTTTTGTGATAACAGGTACACCTTGCAGTCCACTGCTTTGGAGCCTGGTTTGAGTTTGATTGCATGGTCCCATGCTTGTTGATCTGGCAGCAAGTTGAACGATTCCTTGGCAAATACTTTGACAAATTCCTGGTATTGATTCGGAATCTTTCCCTTGGTCATTCTCTCCTTCTCCTTTTCCGCTTCTTCTGCAAATTTCTGTGCCAGCGTTTCCTTCAGCCGTAGATCCACTTCCTTCCCAAAGTTGACCAACAGGATCAATTCCCCCTCTTCCAGATCCGACGTGTCCATGTCCAAGTCGATTGCATCTATGTCGATCATTGCTTGGTGCTTCTCATGACCCCTCATGTGACACCACTCTGGGCATCGACTGAATCTCATTGTCTGCTCCTGCCAATCCACCTCGAGGTTGTGTTCCGTCAACCAATCAAGACCGATGAAGATCTGAGCTTTTCCCAAACACGTCAGAAGGAACGTGCATGTCTCTGCATGAGGGCCAATTCTCATCCTTAAGTCAACGTAATGCGTGATCCAGCCACTGATGTTCTCGGTGTTGTCGGCATTACGAGCCACGATGGGTTGTGGAAGCTCTTGGATATCCAGCTTCTCTGCCTGCACGTAGTTGGTATTGATGCAGCAGGTACTGCAGCCACTGTCGAGTAGCACCTTGACACCCTGCGTCTTTCCTGAGTCCAGGCCCGTGATCTGGACATATACGTCCATCGAATGCCTCTTCCTTTCGGCCTGGTAGTTGCGCAATTCCTGCGCCAGTCTGCTGGGCTGGGGGCCCTTCTGTTTCTCAGCTGCCAATTTTCTCTGGACGGCATCTGGCACCCTTGTGCGTTTGGGTGCTTCTAGAACCTTGATTTTGGCAGATTCTTTAGACACTTCCTCTTTTTTCACGGATTGAGCCTCTGGAGCGATGCTCCCCTTTTTGGTCTTTGTTGACATGGTTTCTTCTCCATAAGCTATAAATACGTAAGAGTCCAAAAATAATTTATCCGCAGCTGCTATCTTCCGATCCTTTTTATCTTGTAAATATTTTCTATTTAGAGCTATTTTTTCTTTACGTTCTTTTTCCATCTTGGCAACAAGAAACTTGTGAATATTTGTACATAGTGAGTTGGGGAGCATGTATGTATGGTGAGGAATATTGTTCATATCATTAATCAAAACAAGTACAGACAATTGTCCATAGTCTGGATGCTCCACCTCCTTGGCTAGTGGAGTGGAGCGCTTCAAAAACCCTTTTTGCGCAGCTTCTCAGCAATCTCCTTGAGGAACTTGTTGTCCTTGTCCCTGTTCTTGATCTCTTCAAGCATTGTGGCCCGGTTGAAGAACGTGCGCTTCTTTCTTGGCTCTGGACAGTTCTGCGCAATGTGACCAGGCTGCTAACAGTTGTAGCAGATGATATTGCGGCTGCAGGCGTGGGTGCAATCAATTTCCATCGGGACCGGTTCGTTGGCAGCCAGTCGGGTCGGAGCGGGTGTGGGCGCCGCTGGTGCCGCCTGAGGGTGGAATTGGGGGGGAGGCCGCAGAGTCGAGTGTGCATAGGATGCCTTATGCAGCTGGTCGCGCAAGGCATTGGCCTCAATGTTGACACACCAGTTCTTGAAGGCGCCGTATGCCTTGGGCAGGGGAACACCGGTGTTGTAGAGGCGGCTCGCAATCTTGCGGCTGAGCCCGCGCTCAAGAAACTTGATGAGGATATTGTCTTGATCCCCCTTCTTGTATTTGCCCTGGTTATTGGTGGTGGTGACCATGTTGTATCCGGCGTCTGCAGCCAGCATCTCGAAGTCGGAGATGTAGTCTGCAAAGGACCGTCTGCCCTGACGAAGGGCCATGAGTCGGGCAGCAGCAACTTGTTCTACGTTAGAATCCCCCAAGGCCCTCTGGAGCTCCTCCAAGAAGGTTGTCGTGGTGACTCTCACCTTCATTCCTTGGAAGCCCTCAAAATTGTGCTGCTTCCAGTTCATCGCCCATCTCAAGGCGGTGCAGCTTGTGCCAGTCTCATTACGGAGGCAGGAAAGGACGAAGAGGATTTTTGTCTCGTCCAGCGAGAACTCCGATTGATAGGCACTGATGTAAGTGGTGCACGCGTCCACAAAGCCCAGGTACTTGGATTTGTCACCATCGAAGTAGGGGGGATTGGCGGCAAGGGTGATGCGGTGATGTCCTGACATGGTAGGAGCAGGCGTGGTAGGTGGAGGTGGTTGTTTGGAGGGTAACTCGTCAAGGTCCAGGATCTCGTCTTCAGGCGGCGGGAGGGCGAGGTAGGGATTAGAGGTCCCGGGTTGGTTTTGGTGCGCCAGATCGGGCGACGATGGTACGATGGGGGGAGGGGACGGACTCCCAGACGACGATGGGAATCGGAACGAAATGATGAATTTGTGTGCTGTACAAGCACTCGAGGAAAGGTTCTTTTGCTAGCAAAAAGATCCCGGGCCTAGCTCTTCACGTACCCAATGATCCCGAGGTGCGTTTTCCCAAAGGTCTCCGCAGCACTCCTTGTAGCTACCATAAGGCTTGGGTTGGGCTCAACGTTACCCATGGCCTGGTGCTGTTTGCTTGATATTAACCCTTCACTGCAATTGCAGGGAACGACTAGATGATTTGGTAAAAAGGTGAGTTGGTTGACAAGGGTTAAGAGGATATAGCGGGCGTAGCGGTGAGGGATGCAGTGGTAAGAGGTATGAGGTAGGAGGGTAGGAGGGTAGGAGGGGAGTCTTCGAATTATGTGACAATCAACAAGAAATAATGTCGAAAAGAGAAGTCAATTCAAAGACTGGAGAATACAACCAAGTAGCTACAGTATTTATACCCAAATCCAGTCTGAGTCATATCTACAACTAATGAGTCATAAGGCTATGTACCGCATGGAGCACTGGTCATGGGTTGTAGTAGAACCTTCCGGAGCATATGTTGTGCAGCCTCGAATCGATAAAGATAATCCCTGGAACCCCTAGTCCGGACCGTCTGATGCTGTGATCCGTGATAAGATAATCCTTGCTGAGATAAGATAAGATGGTTGATGATAAGATGAAAAAGGGCTGAATTATGATACAGACTGGATTTGGGTATAAATACTGCAGCTACTTGGTTGTATTCTCCAGTCTTCAAATTCACTTCTCTTTTCGACATTATCTCTTGTTGATTGTCACAAGGTAGTGCACAAATGCAGAACATGGCCTTGCAGTTCAAATTGTCTGATGGCTTGGATAATGGTGCCCTCCGTTGCAGCTCAATCTCTGGCTCATCCAAGCTCTCACCCTTATTGTTATGCCCAGGCTCATTGTCAATCTTGAGGTCCTGCAAGTTGTCATTGCATTTCTCAAAGTCTGATACATCCGAGTCGTACACAAGGAGGGGAGCAGGTGCAGGAGTTGGCAATGGTACAGAGACCAACTGGGACAATGCAGGGACAGCAGTGCTTGGCTTTGGCACAAAGAATTGGCACATAAGTTGTGCTGAAGGTCTGATGTGTCACAGTCAGTAACAATTAGGCGCATTGAATTCATGCACCCTGCTCAAGTCACTGCATCTTCCCTCTCCTTAGCTTACACTCTGCAGAGCTTCTCATTCTTCCAACTCTTCAACCACCCATTATTGCCCAGAGCTCAATTCAATTCTGCCTTCTTCCAATCATTCATGGCCATTAATTCTGCCTTCTCCCCAAGAACCCAATGCACTCCTTCCCTTGCCTTTTTCTCTGCTTCTTGATGAACCACGGCATTGAGGGACTCATGAGGTAAGAGCTCGCAGATGCTGTTGTCTTCATCATCGCCCCCAGCCTCTCCAGGATCCCCTGTGGCCTCCAGCTCTGCCTCAGGAGTATCCTCCAGATCAATGGACTCCAGGATGTGGTCAGCGTCAAGTGGATTTGTGTTGTTGACAGTCCTATCCCACACACATTCACTGCACTCAGTTGCAGCAGCCAATTCCTCCAGATAGGTGTCACGCTGTTGCTTGAGCTCTTCCTCATGCAGGGCAGCCTTGGCCTGTCTTGCAAGCGCGGTCTTCTGGATCTGAGTCTTTATAGCCCATTTTTTTGTCAGCATCGCAGTGCCACAGGAGCGACAGAATTGACAGCAAGTGGCAAAAGTGGCAGTGGCAGTGTAGATTAGGATTAGGTTTACAATGTTTTGACCCAATACTGGCCCTGTACAAAACTAGCAATGACTAATCTGCGTGCACCATAGCTGCCTGCAGCTCCCATCTGAGTTTTCTGTGTTCAACAGTATCACCAAGGTAAACCTATTGTAAGCCCACCCACTGGACTTACACATTATGTCACATCATGCTATGATATGTTACAGCTTAGCAGCAACATTCTTGCTACATACTTGACTTAATCTCGACTTCTGTACTGCATATATGTATCCCCCACACAAAGGAATCTCTGCTAGCTCTGCTCCTCTCTGCTTCCTTCATTTTTCTTAGTGTTCTTGGCATATAGGTACGCCAGGCTTCCACCTATCCACATTTGTAACATATGGCAGAAGTAAAAAAAAATGGTGTTTTTTTATCAAAGAATTCAACAATGAAAATGCACTATTTGCTATTCTCCCTGTAAGAGCTGCCAGACAGGCTTGAGGGTGCACACAAATCTTTCTCTATGATCACACTACTTGATACAGAAAGTCTAAAGGGTTATGAATAGAGTGATCCAGTTATCATTACTACTTGAGGGGGGAAAGGATAGTATAAACTAGAACAAGGTGCGAGTAGATGATACAGTTGACTGGACACAAATTGAGGGCATGCAAAATGTGAATGGATGTGTTTTGTCTAATCATGCTGCCTCCTTCAGATGGCTATGATATATATGCTGCATGCGTAATGAGAGCCGAAGAAAACGGATAAGGGATATAAAGGTAGGGAGGGATGCATCTACTGAGTGGCCAGTTTAACCATCTAGAATTATCTCAGTAGGTGTTTGAGAAAGCAACGTGCAAACATACTTCACGAGCCCATCGCCGTGTTCGATTAGTCTCTGCTGCCATCCGATGCTTTGTGCGCAACTCTTGTGCAACCCATGGCTTTAAGAGCATCTGCTTCAGCTGCGGGCTGCCGTTGAGCGCATCGGCAATATCCCCCAGGAGACCATATGACAGCTTCATCTGAGTATCGGTGCGCTCATCGTCCTGAGCACAGCGCTGGATCAGGTCCAACATAGATTCGACATATGGAATGAGGACCGCAACTTGAAAGCGTGAGAAGGTGGATAATCAGCTGTCTTGACATGATTTCGTACCTTTCTCGGTGCCTTTGAACCCGCTGACCAGTCCAGTATATGCTTCCAGAATGCCTTCTCGGAGCTGGCCAACGTAGTCCATCAAGTCATAATCAAGCTAAGATTGTAGTCAATGACGGCAAGGAAGTTATTCAGCGCAGCAACTAACAGGATTGGGCTGCATTCCTCCAGCCTGTCTGAGCACATTCATTGTCGTATCCAGATACGGCTCAAACTCGGCTCCGATTGCGATAGCGATGTCTCCGAATCCACTCAAAATAGTTATTTTGACATTGCGGTTCAGAACATCGCTCTGTAGATTTTCCAGAAGAACGGTCATAAACTGCCCGGCGAATTGAGCTGACTGAGGACCAAGAGCCCTCGCGATATCGCCAATGATACCGACGGCAATGGTGCACAATTGAGTGTCCTCGTGTGCTTTCAGAGCAGGATACAGATATGGCAAGAACGCTTGCATGTAAGGCAAGAAGTTGGACTCCAGTGCTAACAAAGAGTGAGACGAGTGTCGGAGGAATGTAATAAAAACGCGCCAGACGCAAAAGCTCCGACAGTCAGGAAGGCATCCTCGAGAATAGTGGACGTCTTGCCGGCAGACTGGATAAGTTGGAGAAGAAGAGTCATGACGCGGTCGGCCAGAGGTTGGATCCCAGCAGCAAGCTTCCGAATGACAGTCTGGAGGAATTGAGGATGAAGAAATACCAGCAAGCAAGACGCGCACGATGATGACACTGCAGAAATTACCCTGGAGTTCATTCCAATTGTTTCTGTCGTCTACGCCAAGGATTTGATTCTGATAGCATTCGTCAGCTGAGATCGACAGGTCCAAGTCTCGAACTCGCCTGCATGCCCAACAGTTGCTCCATGCGCTGCAAGATGATGACGACGGTATTTTGGACAACAGGAATAACGTCGGCAGCGCCACCACTCAGGTAGGCAGAGATGGCCTCATAAGCAGCGGTCCGGAAGTTGTGCTCATTGCTGCCACTTTCGGTGACACGTAGAAGGGCCTGAATGACGCCCTCGGTGTAGGGCGAAAGCGGACCAGTCGGCGCCGGCTGCTCTGGGTCATTATCGAACGTCCCCAGTTGTTCCGCCAGATTCATCAACGCCCAACAGCAATTGGCCACGATGCGGGGGTGCTCTTGATAATCGCCAAGGCCACTAACGAGCGCAGACACCAGTGGATGAAGATGCACATCGGGCTTGATCGTTTGGACGAGTAGATCTGAGACTCGTCCCAAGGTCCATGCAACTGTGTCCTTGACATCGGCATTGCTGTCTTGCATCATGTCGATAAGAAGAGGCAGAGCTTGACCGACGAGAGGTGTCAAAACAATGGGGTCTGGTCCTTCAAGGATCGAACCAAATGCCATGACTGCGGCCTCACGGTAATGCCAGTCCGTGGACTTGATGTGGGCTTCTATGAATGGGATGACAGCAGGCACGACAGCATCTTGTACCGCTGCCGCCAGCAGCGAAAGACACGTTCCCGCAGCCATCGACAGGTTCCACTCGTCTTCTTCAGCTAATTCTTCTTGCTGAGTTAGCAATTGGAGGAGTACAGGGATAATTTCTGGAAGCGCAATCTTGGCAAAATGTTTTGATTCAGTTTCGGGTGCTTCGCCGTATTCTTGAGCCTGAATAACTTTAGAGAGAGGTATCGAAATCATACATGTCGAATTTGACACACCTCTTGAGCTTCGATAGCCAAATCAACTTCCTCCTCGCAGACAGTTGACCAAAATTCCACAGCTTGCAGGGCAACTCGTTCATCGTGATGTTTCATTCCCACAACAGTCAACTGTGATATAGGTCAATGCGACTGGAACACAGACGAAGGGAGGAGACTACGCACCCCAAACAAAGCTTGCTCCATATAATAGCTCATTTTATCGTAATACAACCCCATTATCCTCACAAGACACTCGAATGCGCCTACTTGGACTGGAACGGACGAATTTTGCGACGCCTCACAAACAACTTGCATGATGTAATTGCGCTCGCCCTAATGTGATATCAACATCAATCTTGGGCTATCATCGATTGGAAATCGGCTCACCTCACGTTCGAAGTTGTCCCGCACAAACTCGAGAGAGTTGAAGAGTGCGTGGATTGCAGCGAGTTGTACTTCAGGGGAGGGCTCCTCTTTACGAGCACCGTGAATCACAGCAGTGAGAATCTCATTCGAACGCAGAGTCAGAATTTCTGGTTTCTGAGCGGGGTGTGATTAGAAGCAGCTCGCAATCGTTCAATCCCATGCGACACTCACTATTGATTCGCAGATGTAACCGATCGTTTGCAACGTCGCGATTCGTAGGTTGACGTTGTTTTGCGTATTCACGAAGCCCAGCAGCAGCTCAATGAGATCTCCCCAGTGGTTGAGAGGGAGCTCAACGGCGGCAATGGCAGCGACCACCTGGGAAGCAAAAGCACCAGCCTTTTGGGAGGTGGATGCCAAGGTCAAAAGCGCGTCACTTTTGACTTTCTGCTTAGCGTCGTTGGGAAGCGCCATCCACCTGTTGGCGTAGTCTGCTTGTCGAATCAGATCCTAGATGAGTTTCAGCTGGATGATGAGTGGTAGAGGCAGATTGTAGACATACACGAGCGGTAAGTGCGTTTTTCAAGGCCAATCCTGCGGCATTTCTTACATGCAAGGGGGTACTCTCGTCCACCAGAACGGACGACAGCATAATCATGTATTCGGGCTAGATAGTTATAATAACAGTGAGACAGAAGAAGGGAATGAAAAGAAAGAAAGCAGACGTAGTTCTCCCGCGATGCATTCTCCAACTTTTGCGTAGCCTCATCACGCGTGTTCTGATCTAATGCATAAGGGGAGTGGTTGTTAACGATGACCGAACAGAAAGACGCGACCTAAAAGTCCGGGTGCCACTAACCTGATGAAATTGAGTTGGCGAGCAGTTCCGTCGCGTTCATGGTGTGTTAGATGTATTCAGCTCGAGGTTTCGAGGATTGAAGTAAATTGCGATTAGAAAGTTGTTGCAAGGAGAAGTGGAGCGGAGAGAATGGGCAACCAGACCGCCTCCAGGCAAAGGATGTGAGAGGATCGGTGGCACTGCCACCTTGAACAAACAAAAACAAAGCGCACACTTGACGAAAGAACTGTAGTACTTTCTACTTATGTACAAGTTTACACAAATCATCGCTTGGAGGACAAGGATGACGCGTTCTTGACGAATTTGAGCACCAGTGCCACGTTTACGAACTGCCGCGATACACTCATGCGAGACACTCAATCGACATAAATTGTGCATATCGCGAGTCGCGACTACGTGCGATAATATTGATCCAATCAGCTTCTAATCTTGGGAGCTTCAATTCAACCAAGCCTCGAACGACCGACTGTACCTACATAGTACTCAAACCTACTCAAATTTCGGAACGACCTAGAACATGGAGATCGCCCCGACAAGATTGCCACAGCGGCTTCGATCAGTCGAGACTAGAGACTCGACAAACAGGGTCAAACTTTGTGGTCGCGTCTTTGACAAGACTCGCATGGAACCATGCGCCATCGCGGTCCCACTCTCTCCTGAAAACAGTTCTGCAGCTCATTTTCTCTCCTCTCACTCTCCAACTGCTCCCTTTCGGCGTCGATCGTCAAAACTGCTCACAGCGATTCACGCAGCCCTTGGATCCGGTCCTTCAAAAGTACATCATTCCTCGTTCGCCGGTGCCCATGCACTTCCGGGAGATGGACCTTGGGAAGAAGATGAAATCATTTGGAATAAGACCAAAGTAGTCTGGCTATCAGGAGGAGTGATACGTAAACAATGGACGTTCATCCAGGAAGGACAAGCAGTCCAATTCGCTACTCTCGGGTGGCTAGAGCAAGACTGCTCAACCGGAGACCCCTTTATTTCTCCTCTAGCTTCTGACTCTCAAGACAAACCTCTTCGATCCACTGCAACTGATGACTCCTCTGAACGCCCAACTTTTGGACCGTTCGCACAATTACCCCAGAACGCGAAACTACCCAAACTGAACCTCCTCCGTGTCCCCGCAGCCTTTGTATTCCTTCGTGATATTGGAAAGATTTTTCTCAAGAATGGTACCGACTACACGTTTGCTGTTCCTTTCGTGGTACGGCAAGCTTGGCCACTTTATCCACACGGTGTCCTGATCCAAAGATCTTTGGAGCCGGGCGAGATCGAGGAGGCAGCTGCGATAGGAGAGACTGCGCTCCCAACGATCTTTTCTCTCACTAGTCCTTTTGCCGAGGCTGTCGCGATGGGTCTGACAAGCGGAATTCTGAATGGATTCGGTGAAGCTCCAACTTTGAAAGACGAGGAAGAGCACTCTCAGAGGCCGCTCAAGGCCGTACCTTCAACAGACAATGTGATATGGACATCTCGCCGGGGACCAGGTGGCAATCATGACCTTGTCGTCTCTGTCGACGTCGCCACTCGACAGCTCTCCATCTGGCGTTACGTGTTCATCAAGCCCAACGACACCCCCGTTCCTTTTGGCCAGGCCAAAGTAGCCAAGCACCGCCACTCACTCTCCATCGCGACGAACAGGCGCACTTCGACCATGTTCACGGACTTCGACCGACTCAACCCACGCTCACCCAAACCTGTTGGCCCACGAGAGTCCGCAATGAAAGTTTCTGATGTTCCTGTGCTTCCCGGGGACATGCCACCTTTTTCGGCATTACCTGGAATGCCTCCGGCCTTGTCTGCGACAACTATGGCTCCAAGCGGCTCGGGGACATCTTCACAATGGTCGGGAACATCGAATCGTCATCGTAGGAATTCTCTGACGCGCAACGATCTGAGTGTCACGATGGACCGAATGGCGCTTGGCGCAGGGATTAAAAGCGACTTTGAAAATACTCTCCCGCCACCCAGTCAGCATGGAAGGATGAAAACGTCATACTGGATGGAAAAATTGTATTCAAAGGAACTATCGGATATCGAGTTAGTACTCTCTTCATGCACTACCCCTATTCTTACATTGGTTAGAGCTCGAAATTGGCAGGAAATAACATGCTCTCAGTTTGACCGTCGATGGGATGGAGCATCGTACCACTCCTTACTCTCGGTGCATACACCCGTCTCTGGGACGCTGCTGGTGATGAGGGCATGGGAGGAAGATGATGTACTGAAGGTCGCGCTGCTCTCAGAAACTGCTGCGATCGCTGCCACGTCGCTGCGCATCACGCGCAAGGATGTCTGGGATTTGTTGGTGCTCAGAGCGAATTCCCAATTCGTGATTCTCACACATGGTCTGAGGGAGCTCCCGGTCCAGCTGAGCACGGGGAACGAGCGAGTGGTCGATCTCAAGCAGGAGTTCTGTCGCTCTGCGACGTTCATCTTTCAAAGTGGGCGACGCCAGATTGCATGTATCGATCTCGTTCCTACAGATAGTCTGACTCTCCACACACTGGAGACGCTTTCGCTGATCCTCCCATCGGACCTTTTTTTCGAATTGCATCATTGCTTTCTCGTTAATTGGTCCCGCAACGGCCTGCGAGCATCAGATAATGTTCAATTCGAGTGCTTGACTGCGGCACTGTGCACGACTTTCGAACTTGATCGTCCTTCGCCCTCCGTATCGACTGCCGTATGGTCAATGTTGGGTGTCTCGCCATCTCACGATAGATTTCGAGAGGACATCGCTTTGCGAAATATGCGACGGCCTAGTGCTCCACTGAGCGTCGTACCCTGTCATACACTCGGCTTGAACAGGAGAGACATGTTTGCGCCCGTCTTGTATGCTTTGCATGCTCTTGCAGAAAACCTCCGACTGCGCGTGGATCATTACAAGCATGTCAATGTATTGGCCCCAATAATCTGCCGGTTTGCACAAGTTATTCGGCCCGAATGGGCAGATTACTGGAAGCGACTGGTGCCTGATGCGATGGCAGGCTGGCCTGAAGTTCCGGGTCAGTTCGCTCTCGTCCTTCCCAGACTCTGTTTCATATCTTCCTAGAGCATGAAGTCGATGATCGACTACCAGTGTGGCCACCAGATCTATCGGCCATCTTGTACGGCCGAGTCAGCAGTCCTGACTGGCAAGTCCCTTGGCACGACACACAGCATATTGCCAATCGATTTCACATCGAGGCCTCATATGCATTTGGGCATGTTGAGCCACTTGCCACACTACGACGGCTCAATATGATCTACAACTGCCTCGCAGATCACGCTGAGTCGTCCAGTCAAAGGCGGGCTGAAAATGCTGTACTTTGCATGGTTCAGAATGGCATAGGATCCGAATTTGTGAACCGACTCTCTCTCGGAGTGTCGATGCCGGTGAGAGAAGCGTCGAGAACCTGTCAAGTTGCGCCCCCTAGTGAATGGCCCCTGGAAGCCTATCGTGCAGTGGGCAGGAATGACATTGCCGCTTCGGCGAGTCAAATTCCAGATATGGTGTTTGCAGACGGATATCGGCCGATCAAAGAGTTTGTGGTGGGTGTTGTTCATCTTCCAGTTTCTTCATTCTGAGTCTCTTAGAATCCAACGCGACCTCGACCGACAATCCAGGGCATCGTCACGCAAGCCAAGGTTGCCGGGTTAGGCGCAGTGGAGACCGTGTCTGGTGTCGAATTAGGTCTGAAAGACTTCACTGATATCCGATTCGGGCAGGACCGAAGACTGGATGAAGTGGCGCGATTACTCTGCTCTTCCAAAATCTTGTCCGTTCGCGCAATAGAACGGCCTGAACTCAAGTGAGTGGCTGCTTTGTTCATTGCTCACTCTCATGAAGTCTGACATCCCACAAGCGAGCACGACCAAAGCAAAGAACACCAACACCAGGTGCTTCGAATCTCAGAACGGACTTTGGCCCTTCCTTACGGCCGGGCCATCTTCACGTTTGGAACTCTGATGAACGTCACGAAAGAGGCGTACAGCATTCCCAAGCTGGAATTTTCCATCAAGCTGCAACCACTGGGTGTGACCGTAACGCCTGAACCCGGAAAACTTCATGGAGATTCGTTGTCGTGGGGGGAATTCCACAACGGAGTTGCAGCAGGGCTGCGGATATCGCCGTCTGCGGCAGGAGTCGAGAGTTCTTGGATCGCTTTCAACAGGCCGTCCGAACTGACGCCTGAACATGCTGGGTTCCTTTTCGCTCTTGGACTGACCGGACATCTCAAAACGATGCTCACATGGCACACTTTCGCATATCTGACGCCTAAGCACGATCTAACCTCCATCGGCGTGTTACTTGGACTGGCTGCAGCGAATGTCGGCACAGGTGACGAACACGTGACCAAACTGCTCGCAGTGCACACACCAGCTTTGCTCCCTACACCCGAGGTGGATCTAAATGTGCCGCTAATGACGCAGGCGGCAGGACTTTCCGGCCTTGGACTGCTGTATATGGGTACCAAAAACCGACGGATGGCAGAAGTGTGCCTGGGTGAGATCGCGCGCCGCGACCTGGCCGATCCAGATCTGAACAACGAATTCCGAGAAGCTTACACTTTTTCTGCGGCCCTTGCATTCGGGATGATCATGCTGGGAAAAGGAAGCATGGTCCCGGCGGACGCCGCACTGCTGAGTCGGCTAAACATCCTCATCCACGGAGAACCCAGAACACCGATCAACACCCATCGGACCGGATCTTTCGATCTCAACTTGACGTCGCCGGCAGCGACACTGGCGCTGGGGTTGATGTACCTGCGCACCGAACGACAGGACGTCGCTGATATGCTGGTGATCCCCGACACAGTTTTGGCGCTGAATCGCATCCAGCCCAGTTTCCTACTGATGAGGGTGTTGGCAAAGGCGCTGATCATGTGGGACTCGATCTCGCCAACATCAGAGTGGCAGGCGGCACAGATCCCGAGGTCTATACGTGAGGCAGTGGACAATCGCTCCAGAAAGGGTGTTCCCATCGACGACTCCCTGGAGCTCGCCTATTACAACATTCTCGCCGCGTCCTGTTTTGCAATTGGCCTGAAATTTGCTGGCACGGCGAGACAGGAAGCGTATATGATGATCATCCGGTACTTCGATCTATTTACTCGCATGGTGTACTCGAACAGTGGGTTTGATGCATCCTTCGCACCTTGACAGGGCACTCATGAGCCCCCCACAGGCCAGGCATTCGACCACAAGATCCGACGTTCGGCCGTGCGCGATGGCTTGAATCTCATCTCGATCGCTCTCAGCATGGTCATGGCCGGCACAGGCGAGATATCGTGCTTGCGCCGGTTCCGATTCGCATACGGAATGTACCACCAGACCATGTACCATCCAGCATTCCGATACGGCATCCACGTCGCCAACCACATGTCTCTCGGCTTGCTTTTTATTGGCGGAGGGAGATTCACCCTGGGGACATCGGATGCCGCTGTAGCCTGCATGGTCACGGCACTGTTTCCTCGAGCGCATCACGCTTCCTCGGAAAATAAGAGCTTCCTCCAGGCTTTGCGGCATTTGTGGGTGCTTGCGATCGAACCTCGTTGCCTGATTGCGCGTGACGTAGAAACGACCGATGTGGTTTATTTACCTGTCAAGATCACTGTCCACGAAGGGAGGGAAGCTGGAACTACGCAGCTGATCTCACCGACGCTCATCCCTGATCTGGACAAGCTGGCTGCTATCCGCGTCGACACCCCTCGTTACTGGCCGTTTCATTTTGACACAGCGAACATCCCCCGACACAAGGACAGCCTCCTCCGCAGCCAAACCCTCTATGTCAAACGGCGGACTGCATTTTTGAGCTACACAGAGGATCCCAGAGGAAGCCGAAGTCTGTTCGTCAGGTCTCGCTCATCAGCGGGGGAGGCTGCAACGCTGGATTTCCCGCAGCTCAGTGACACCAAAGTCCATCCAGCCAGCGACCTGGGCGAGTTCATCACCTCCTTCTCGAATGACACGCTTTTCCTGGCCTATGCAGACCATTTGGCTCGCGAAGAAGGTGTCACCGAGGCAGAACGCATTCTCCATATCTATTCGCATGCCAATCTGCTGGATAGTATTCTCCAGGGTAAACCACAGACCCTCCAGGCCCACCTGACCCTATTTCGCTTCCGGCTACTTGTCCCGAACTCTCGATATTTCCATCTCCATCTGCAGGACCTCAGGTTCGCTGCCGATTTCTACAGCAAAATATATGAGCGCCGATTCAGCGGACGGCGAGAAAACAATTACCGGATTCCGTTGCTTCGGGACAGCACTGTTTCTGGGACATTGCACGTTCTCGACGAACAACTCAGACACTTGCGGGCAGACGAGCAATTCAAGGAGGTTCTCAAGCAGTATGCTTCCGGAGAACCAGTCTCCATGGACGAAGGCGCGTCGTCGCTCCTGGCGTGGTATCTGCTCAGAAACAGCGTGCCTGTCTCGACACTGTTGATGATCCTTAAACACCTCGCAAATGAAGCTTTTGAAAAATGCTTTCAACAACCTCAGCCTGCTGGGACAATCGACCAAGAGCTCTTGAAGCAAGGCATCACTGAAGTTCTGCATGCGGCTGGCGTCAAACTCACGACCGTCCTGGGAGCCGGATGGTCAGTCGGTTCGTTGAAAGAGATTCTTGAATGTTGGAACTTGTAGAACTAGCAAGCATATTACTACTGTCCATAGCAGTGTATTTTTGGTATGTAACACTCGAAAGCCAAACCGAGATAGCCGGTGACAGCAAAGCATCACAAATAAAGTGCACGGAACGTTCGACTTTTCGTTCGTCCGCACCCCTCATCATGTCTTCAACTTCCGTGCAGGCGACTAACCTCGCCTCCATAAAAAACGCGCCTGTCTTAGGCTTGGCCGAGGGCAATGGCGCCTTCTCCAACTACCACCTCGCCGCGCTTGTTCTCTTGGTGCCCTACGTGGTCAAATCCTTTGTGCCCCTCGTAAACCGTGGCGGGCTCAAGACTTACCTCGTTCTCATGGTGCTTACGGGCGTCCCGACCACCATCGCGTATTGGACTCTCATGTCTACGTATGGTGGACGCAAGAACGAGAAGGTCCTCTTCCCCGGCAAGGACATCGAGGAGTACATCACTATCAAGGACCCAGAGCTCAAGAAGCTTTACTACGGAAAGAACAAGATTCCAATGCAGGTGTTCCACGATGCATACTTCGAGGGGAAGATTGATTTCAACGGTGCGTCGCTGGCAACTCACATGACCCCTGAGGGTACAAAACACGCTCTTTACTAACGACTTGACGTGTCATAGGCGACGTACTGGATGTTTTGGAACAGCGTCACGACTGGGCAAAATTCACCTTCACGCCTGAACTGTTTAAATATGTCTTTTTGAACTTCCTGCCCGAAGTCATCGTGCACTCGCAGAGTCAGGATGAAGAACAAGTTCGTGACCATTACGACAGAGGCGACGACTTTTACGAATGGTACGTGTTCCTCCAGTCGCCCGGTGCTCGCTTCCAAGCCCATTTATCAGGTTCCTTGGTCCTCGCATGATCTACACTTCCGGTGTTATTCTCTCCCCTGACCAATTCGAGTCCCTGGAAACCCTGCAAGACAACAAACTCGCAATCGTTTGCAACAAGCTCAACTTGCAGCCCACCGATCGCCTCCTCGATGTCGGCTGTGGCTGGGGCACTCTCGTTGCCTACGCAGCCAAAAATTTTGGCTGCGACGTCACGGGTGTTACGCTTGGAAAGAATCAGACTAAGTTTGGTACGAAGCGCATCGCAGACAACGGCATCTCGGCGGACAAGGCTCGCATCCTGTGCTGCGACTATCGTGAGATTCCTCATGGCAAGGGCATCTATGACAAAATCGTCAGTCTGGAAATGGCTGAGGTATGAATTGTGATCCCTCATGCTTGATCCGTCTCATCTTCGTACAGCACGTTGGTGTCCGCCGTTACTCTGCTTTCTTGGGCCAGATGTACGAGCTTTTGTCCGACGATGGTATCTTTGTTTTCCAAGTCGCTGGCTTGCGTCAAGGTTGGCAGTTTGAGGATCTCATCTGGGGTCTCTTCATGAACAAATATGTGTTCCCTGGTGCCGATGCCTCCGCGTCTCTTGGCTGGGTCGTTAACAAGGTTCGTTGATCAACTCTTGGTGTTAATCATCTTTCTCATCACTTTGAGCAGCTCGAGCAAGCCAACTTCGAGGTCAAGTCGATTGACGTTCTCGGTGTTCACTACTCCGCCACCCTCTGGAGGTGGTACCTCAACTGGTTGTCGAACAAAGAAAAAGTCATCGAGAAGTACGGCGAACGGTGGTTCCGTATCTGGGCATTTTTCCTTGCCTGGTCGACCATTGCCAGCAGGTGCGTCACCAAATACACCAAATATCATTTTCCACAACTATCCTAACCTGCTTTGACTTGCAGACAAGGCACTGCTTCCGTGTTCCAGTTTGTCCTGCACAAGAATTTGAACGCGTACCACCGTGTCCTCGGTGCGGCCAACCATGGTGGCATCCACGTCAAACTTGACAAAGAGCCTCAGTATGTCATCCACCTCTTCGTGAATGTGGGAACTGACTGTCGCCCACAGGCTGATTTTGTGATCCTTGGAATTCTAAAATTAATCTACGATTGACGAATAAACACTTGACGATTATTACTACGTACCTGCTATATCCCTATTAGATTGTTCTGGCAAACGAATATAGGGAGTTAGGATGTCTACCTCTAAGATTCACCGGCGGATAATGATGTAGTCACTACATTGGGGAGTAATAATCTAAACGTTCGTCGGGACAAGATCAAATGATTAGGATCTAGCAGCGCCTTAAACCTGCCATCATGTTCGCTAGCAGAGCCCAGCTTGACCTCTCCGTTTTCTCCTCCCCTCAATCTCTTCGTAAACGCCGCTCTCTACTAATTTGTGGCTCCGTGCCATGGATAAAACGGAAAGTGAACCGGGCCTGACGTCCGTCGTGGATACACCCGGAGATGAACCATGCGCAAAGATCTGGTCGGTCTACCTTTCGGAAGCGGAGAAGTACGACAGAGACTTGGTCGAAAGCTGGCGGGCTAACATGAACGGAATGCTGATATTCGTGCGTATGGTCTGCGGTCGATCGTGGTCTAGCGATACTGATATCATTATGTAGGCTGGTCTCTTCTCGGCCGTGCTGACGGCCTTCATCATTCAGAGTTATCAATCTTTCACTGCTCAAATGGCCCCTGCTCAATCGCCTGAGCTTCTCGCTCTCATCCATATATCCCAGCAGATTGCCCCGAACGGATTCGGATCGGCGATGCTGCCCCTGGCTCTCGATTTCACAGGCAACTCGACGCTGTCTACTCCGGGTCCTGACGCTGCCTATCTAGCGTGCAATATTCTTTGGTACCTCAGTCTCGGTCTCAGTCTGGCTAGCGCGTTGCTGGCTACGCTAGTGGATCAGTGGGCTCGTGAATTCTTGCAAAGAGCGGAAATGCGACCTAACCCCGTCAAACGCGCACGGATGTATGCATATCTCTACTATGGGTTGCAGCGTTTCCGTATGCACGTTGTCGTTGGGGTTGTCCCCCTACTTCTGCATTATTCGTTGTTCCTGTTTTTCGGCGGCCTGGTCGCGTTCCTCAAACCAGTGAACTTCACTTTGACCATTATTGCAGTAGCTATGCTCGGCTTTGTAGGCATTTTCTATGCTTCCATAACGCTACTTCCTCTGCTCTGGTTCGACTGCCCGTACCAAACACCTCTTTCTCCCTTACTGTGGAATATCCACCGATTCTTGCTACGCCGCATTCTCAGCCACTTTCCCGCGCCTGCTCGCCAGAATGCGGATGATCCGCAGCCACCTTTGAATCCGCACCTGAAATCACAGCAGTCGGCCATGCTAGACACCGCCACGATACGCTCTGACCTACGCGAGGCTCGGGATAAAAGAGCACTCGCATGGACAATGAAGTCTCTCGCAGACGACGATGAGCTCGAGCCGTTTGTGGAGGTGCGGAGGAAAATAATACACACTCTGAAAATGACTGATGGCGAACAGGGCATTCCCAATGCTATCTATGGTCCTCAAGGCCGTCGAGTGAAATATGACGATTTGATGTTGGGCCTGCTGAAAGATCCAGACGTTCTACTGGGTTCACGGATTGAGCATCTGCTGCTGAGTTGTGACGCCGGTCTGCTTGAACCGTTGGCCCAGACACGACGTCTGCATACGTGCCTAAAAGCCATCTGGTGTCTGGGGATGATCGCAGAGAAGAAAAGGTCGCCCGCCCAACCATTGTTTTTCTTCCAGAACCGAGGGCTGAAATTTCTGCCTGCACCGACGCCAGCCATTGCCCATTATCTTCCATCGATCTCAGCGTTGGCCGAATGGAACGGTTTCTGCTCCCTCCACGGTCACGTCGCAAAGCTGCTGGAGCACCTGGAAAACCGACCCCATCCCGTCATGCCGCTGTATATCAGCGACTGTCGTTTGCGTCTCCGGCTGTTTCTTGACCAGTACGAGCTCAGCAATTGGCAGCATGTCATTCCCATCGCATCCGAGGGGAAAAATCTGGCTTTACTGGTGAGGCCTCCAGCTCAGCCTCAGACAACGTTCGAAATGGACGACTGGGTGACGGACGTAAAACACGTCTTACAGTCCATGCCGTTATATTGGAACAAGATCCAGTTCCGGATCCTTCACTCCTACCTGCAGCAATCTGCGGCGTTGGATCGACCGCCTTACGAATTTCAGTTGACATGCCAAACGATTCAGCCTTCGCTCGAACCTGACATTGACATCGCGGGCAGCGTAGCATCTACTATCAGCGAGACGGTCCACAGAGCAGTGTCGCCGAGTGGGCGGCCCTTGAACCACATTGACATCATCCTTGGAATTCTGCTGCCCTGGTTTGACACCAAGGCTCTCGAGCCACACATCGCAGTCCGCGTGACAGACAGCGTGATCGAATACATCAATCATCGCGAGTCCAATGCTGCCGTCTGCCATGTCCTTGGCAAATGCGACTTGACTCTCCTCTGGGACCGGATCACCGACCGGATCAACTCGTCCAGGCTCGAAGTGTCCAAGGCGATGTGGCATCTCTCTGCCCTGTTCCCGGGGCCATCAGCCCTCGATGCTCGATTGGCGGAGTGGCCCGCCTTCAACACCGCCATGCTGGACGTCATTCCGGCCGCACCATACACAGCGTCTGTCCTGGCACTTCTCAAGTCGCACATCTATGATGCATATGAGGCTGTCGAGCGCACCTTGCTTGTGACCGACTTGAAGAGATTCAGGCAACGGCTGATCGACAATCCTGTCAGCCCGTTGACATCACATGATTCCCTCACGTTACTACGAAACGTGGAACGGTACTGGGCTCTGATGACCGCTGTCTGCTCGCTGCTTCTTCCGCCCGTGGACACCAGCGGCCGACGGCCTCTGGAAAAATTACCGGTGTTCCCGGTGTACCGGTACAGCACTCTTGGCATCTACGAAAACTACAGGCGGAATGCAATCGGTGCGATTGACAAAGCTATCGAACTGATCCCCCGCTTCAACCGAAGAATGGGAGAAGCACGATTTCTGGTATTCCTCGGATTCGTCAACGTGTGTGCCCATGACAATGTTCTTCCATACAAAGCTTTCGAAACACTCTCAGAAAATCTTCTTCTCGCGCTGCCCAATGCCCCAGAAATGGACGTCGTTCACCCAAATAATCAACGCGCGTTTGTGGCTGTGTTCAAGTCATTGTGTGGATCAGAGCAAACGCACGACCTCGTTACTCTCATCCTGACTTCCCCCCTCTTCATCATGGAACCTCTGCATTGGTTGGATGATCCCGAGTCGATATGTGCTCTCGTTGCCATCTTGAAGGGAATCCGGCCGAACGCTTCCGATTCATTCTCGAACAAGGTGGAAGAAATCATCCAATGGCTCGATAGTAAGCCACCATCAACACCCGTTGTAAACGGTCATGCCGTTGCTGGACCGTCCCGTCTTTCCTGATGTATGGCGATCGACGCTGTAAAGCACTTGGTATCTGGGAGAATTGTACATTATGCCATGGTAATATTGCCTCCTATGTATGTTCTTGCTTGAAGACGAATGTAATAACGATAATTGGATTCGGGTGTTGTGTCGCATGCGATCTCATTCCTGGTCATCCCAACTTCGATACCTGAGGTATCGTCAATAAAATATCGAGCGGAGAGCGTAACCCACTGACCTCGATCATGCGACGATGCAGCCGCCATTAGTTCCGTGGCTAGAATCCTCATCTACCATAGGTGGATGATCGACAGTCTCCTCTGTCCTCTGGGGTATGACGGTGGAGTTGAACGAGTCCATGCGGACAGATAAACCAGGGGATGAGTAGCGATAGACAGGCTCGGTGAGCATCTGAGAACAACCAATGTGCATTTTATACAACCAGACTTCCACGGAGCGAGCCATCCGAATGCTCCACCAGCTATCACCTCAAGCCCGATCGCACATAAACGAAGATGAAGGGACAATACGCACACAATAAGAAGGATCGCTGAATCAACAATTGAGCAGTTCTTTTTCAGATGAACACAAAAGAGTTGCGATCAGTCCTCCGAGAACTGGACAGGCCCTCCAGATAATCGATGATCCAGCGCGTGGAAAGATATGGTAGGTTGAGAGGAGCATTCTAAACAGCCTAGCATCACGATGTTCTGCATAGACTCCCCGAGGCAATTCTGCTCGTCAGATAAGGTCCCCTGAGATAATCCTGGGAGTGCGAACAATCTGATTGTGAACTTGTCTAAAGAACAACAAATGGACGAAGCGATCATCATCTTCTCCAGAATTGAGTATCCAGGGCAGCGTGAACGATAATGACAAGTTCGTGACTCGATGCGATTTCGGTCCTGACTAACATCAGCTCAGTAAACGTACCGAGACTTTGAGTCTTACATGAACATGTCCAATTCGAAACCCTGGAAAGCACTTGTGGCGCACAGGACAAGTTTGATAGCAGAGACAATCTACACAGTCATGGTATGGTCGACGGTACGTGCGCGCCCACATAAATAGGCACTTGAGGAAAGATGCAGCTTTTCTGTTGCTAGTGCATTGTATAGTACTTGGACTGTGACGTGTCAGCGATTGTTCCGTTTCCATATAGTCAAGCACTCGCCTAAACACGAAGTTCCACTTATTCCACCTGCTTGTCAACCGAAAGGCGGATCTGATTGAGTATCTCCCGACGTAGGGCGGGAGGAATCGATGGTGCTGATATGTCAAAGGTTTGGGTCCGAGAAGGGATAACAAAGATGGAGACAGACTTTGGACACCGACTTCATCTATGAGGGCACTATACGACATCCTTGGCGAGTTGCGCGCATGCTCTAGAAAGGGGGAGATTTGATGAAAGGGAGATAGGCGAGCGAGCCCCATTCACCTTTAGCACGGCTACGCAGCTCATCAACCCATCCAATGTCGTTCAGGCGCGTGGCAAGTGTCGATCGGATACTGACGGTTTCTTTCATCAGTACCGAGGACATGATGACAGCGACAAGCACACATACCGTTCCCAATCTCCACTTTCAAGTAGCCGTTGAGTGAGTTGTGCTTGAAGCGCATCCAGCTCAGCTGGGGTGGCCGGCGGCATGCCCGCGCTTAGCCCAAAGATTACGATGTGCTGAGCGCCGCCACGTTTGTTAAAAGCCGAGAAGAGCGAAGGGAGTCGGCTTGCTGACTTGCTAAAGATTTGTGCGATTGTGTTCCACGAACTGAGAGGAGATTACGAGAGGTAGTACTAGCAGGCACTAGTAGGACGCTCGCGACTCGGAGTATGGATCATCACGGTCTCGTGACCGAGACAAAATGTAGCCTGAACCTTGCCTCGACTGCCTCCAGAGTCCAAAATCTCACGACAAATACCATCGACTGGAACCAATTTAGATACAAATGTTATGGGAGATGCTTCGCCGAAACAAATGGAAGCTCCGATATAACATTGGATTACAGAAGCCACATACTCGAGTATGATCACATTTTGCATTGCATCGCAGAGTTCGAACTTGCGAGTTTTAGACCCATAAGCCCTGAAATTTGGCTAGCACAACCATCATATTTCTGTGTCTTCAGATATCGGTTGTCGTGTCGATTGAGTCGGTTCATTGACGAACGGGGGATACACATCCGAAGACTTGAGACGGCAAAGAGCGCCAGCCTAGAGGGCTTGGGAAAAGGGGACCAGACTGCATGAACGCAGTGGACTTGAGCACGACGAATAGTGTTGATGAAAGCGCATGCCCAGCGTACAATCATTGGGACGATGCTCCGGTGTAGTTGCGGCGCAGATTACGCCTACAAAGGTTGAAATCCGGGGTAGAGTTGGATTCCTGGGCTCGTTAGGTAGCTTGATATGGTCATGTAATGTTCCGCAGGCTGGTCAGTTTATGAAGACAATGAGAAACGCATCGGCAGACTTCATTCAATCCTCCGATCCTCCAAACGACTTCTTGATCGCAAATTTGACAGGTGGCTCGAGCGCATGGTGATCACGTGCAAGTATTCCGGAGCTCTTTGCACTCGATTCACAAAGGATTCCCCCACTTTTTGCTCTCGACTCTCATCCTCCCCCGCCAAAAGCCAACTTGCCCAATTCAAATGGCTCGTACTAAGGTCCGGTTCATCATCCGCCCCTACCCTCATGCACCTTCCTGACGATACTCTTTAGCAAACTGCCCGCAAGTCAACTGGAGGTGTGTGCTCATCGTCCGAGACGACTTCCGTCGGGGTCTCACTGGCCGATTTTCTCTTTGTCTCCAATAGGCAAGGCCCCTCGTAAACAGCTCGCAACCAAGGCCGCGCGTAAGACCGCCAACGTGAGTATTCTTACCATACTCTTCGCTGCATCGTCGCTCGTCACCGTCGACGACGGCGACTGCTCCCTTTTCTCACGCCCTTACACGTGACATATTGATTGACATTTTGCACAGCCTACCACCACTGGCGGTGTCAAGAAGCCGCATCGTTTCCGGCCCGGAACAGTCGCTCTTCGTGAAATTCGCCGGTATCAGAAGTCAACTGAGCTTCTCATCCGCAAGCTCCCCTTCCAGCGTCTTGTTCGTGAAATTGCTCAGGACTTTAAGGTGGGTCTGTTGGTCACGCCCCTATCGGCATCCGGCTTACGTGAACACGCCCAGACCGATCTTCGTTTCCAATCGTCCGCCGTGATGGCTCTCCAAGAGGCAGCTGAAGCGTACTTGGTGTCTTTGTTCGAGGACACCAATTTGGCCGCTATCCATGCCAAGCGTGTGACCATCCAGCCAAAGGATCTCGCCCTAGCTCGCCGGCTGCGTGGAGAGCGCTCCTAAGCAAGATGTCCCATGCCGTGCTTTGTACTCTGTCTGAACTATATCTCTTCCGTTCCATTTGTACCCTAGCCTATATATATATGACTGACTGAAATTTGTGTGGCATCCGTGAGATGGCGTTATCTCAATTCTCAATCCTCAAACGAGTGCACTCACTTGCTATCTGCACAATTCATTGGAATTTCCTGCCTGCGCAGTGTATCTACGTTTCTTCTCTTTACTTGGTCGAGGCACCTATCCATAAGGAGTGTCGCCTCACAAGTTCGCTGATGATGTCCTCCTCGATCTCCTGGTTATGAGCGGTTGGCGAAAGGCGAAGCCAAGACTCGACAAACATGAGGCTGTCCTTATTCTGGACGCCAACCGCCGCAATCTCAGCATCATCGGCGCCAGTAGGCAGCGGAGGCAGCGGTTTCATCTTCCGCTCGACAAACACGACACGATGCTTGCGAGTATGCAGATCGTTTCCGATGACAATCTGATGGCCATACCGTTCAAGAGCTGCTCGTGCTTTGGGTATGAGCAAGTCTTCGTCTGTTTCCAGCTGGTCTCACAGGTGAGTCGCAGAACCCAAAAGAAACATGAATAGGCTTGCCTTGAATGAGACGATATAACCGTCGCGAGTCCATTCCTCAACCATGGCCTTGAGGACTTTGGGCACCTGATCCATCTCAATGTGCAAGCTACCCTTGCCGGATTGTATTTTGTGTTCCGACTGGAAAATCACCCTCAGACGAAAGCCCCGAGTGCAGAAACGTACGAGGACGCACCAACTTCTGGCGCGGTAAGAAAAAGTCGCTCACAGCAGCTGCGAGATAATACAAAGCTCTCTGCCGTAGAACCGAGAGCTCCTGGGAAACCGCTCTCAGTAACCACAAATAGTCATTCACCGTCACAAAGTTCAGCGTGTGCAGCGTCCCTGCCATTTGCACGCTTTTATACGCAGCCAACACACTGATTAGATCCGGGTCAGCACGCTTCTCCGCTACGATCCCGGCTTTCTGGTCGCTTCCATCGCCCTCCAGCGATATAAAGTCGAGGAAAGGATTGGTGGAATGTGAATAATGGCGGCTGAATGGTTGCAGGCTGAATTGCCGGTGCATAAAGATCACTGCATATCCGGCTTTCAGGAAGTATTCGGCAGAAGTTGCACCGCGCGTTCCTGTTGAGCTGAGACTATGAGAGAAGCTGCAGTGATGAGCACATACCAGCACTGAAATTATCGAGGAATCGCACACTAGGAAGGTCTGAGCGATGATTCCGCATGAGATTAAGTTTGTTTCTCACACATTCAACTCCAGCGGCACTGTGGTTCCCCCGCTCTGTGTGCCCTAGTCTCCAGCCAGCCTTCAGATTCTGTGGGAGTGACTCACAGTAACCAGCACGACGTTCCGCCCCTCTGCAACCTGACGGGTGACAAATGCCTTCACCCCGGCGATATCCTGCTCGAGAGTATGGGGAGCAGCTTGCGTAGCAAAGTATGTCTCGGCAGAGAAGGGTGGTGTTTCATTCATTTCCGTGGCTGGTTTCTCGGGTTTCGGTTCACGTTGCGTGCGTCAGCTGTCGTACGATTGCAAGTTTGCAGGAGAGTCTAAATAGATTGATTCTGTATCACACAGGAATCCAAGATTGGGCGGCGGTGACGATACGGGAGAGTTTGCTGAGAAAGGGCGGCGTCCAAAGACTCGCCGGTGTAAATGGTCGGCAGTTGTATCATTAGGCAGACCGGTTCCGAAGATTTGTCGATGTATTTGAACAAGACTAAGTGCCAGTGCGCTAAAGACAAGTAGTCATGCGCCCATGTACGAGCATCCATCCCGATTTCTATTTTGCCGAGTATTCTACTTGAAAGAACGGAGATTCTAACATACACTTGGATTTATAGGACTCATGCTTCTGCTTTGGACTCTACTTGGTCGCCTGCTATCGTCATAATCGCTGCCCTCCGCGCGAAGTTCGGCATGACCCATCTTGGTTAATTTGTCGTCAAAGTCCCGGTGGCGGTAGCCAGAGACGATGCGTTCCAGTAATTCTGAGGTCGATATGCCTGGCGTTCGGCGTGTGGGAATAAATTTGCCTGAAGAGGGCGTCAGATAAGGCGACCTCTCGGCGTAAGTCGCACCTAGGGATTTGCAAAAGGAGTACACATCGTCGTGGCCCAATGATTTGTATGGCTCCTCGTCGTGGGCGACGTAGTCGATTTGGTACTTGTCAATAAAAGCCTGATCGATGACCCACGGAGCGTCTGCAACGATCTCATCCACCCATCGACAATGACGTGCCGCTTCCAGTCTAGCAAAGTAAGTAAAACCTCAGGGACAACAAGCCAGTGACGCACCGTTCTGCATGGCTCATGACGCCGCGAGCTTTGTGAGCTCGCACTTGCTCATCCGAATTCACTCCAACAAGCAAATACACCGAGGGAAAAGAGAGTTTGGCTTGCCGCAACTGGAGAGCATGTCTATCGAATCATTTCATTCCCAGAATGGTTCGCAGCATCCGATATGCGCATACCCAAAGTGGAAGAGATCATAAACGCCTTGAAAAAAATAAGGGAGAGTCGAGGAGGTATAATTACTACACACCATCAGCATAGATGCGAACGGGCCGGTCTAATGGCGGTGAGTTGATCTTGTACTTCCGCCAGGACTCGCCGTCGATCGCCTGTTGAACGAATGACTGGATGTCTCCGGGAGTGAGTGCAGCGGGGTTGAAAGCCGCTTTTGATATCGCAGCAGGAGCTGGTTCGCGTAGCGGCGCTGAGAGAGGGGCGGACATTGCGACGTCTGTAGCTGGTGTAGTTGCAGAACCTGGGGAAGGCGAGGGTGAAAACATCGCGACATCAAAAGTGGATGTCGACGATGCATGGTGATGATGCGTTGGCCTTGGCTCGTTTCCAACAGTGGCGCTAGACTCCACATCACCATCGTACGTGGGCGAGTCTACCCCATCAGAGTCGGACAAGACACTCGATGCGAGCTGGTGAGGCCGATTGGATCGTGTGGAATGTGCCTTTGGACGCATGAGTCCAGCGCTCAGTCTTGGTGGTGTTTCCAAGGGAAGCGAAGTCGGAAGAATGCCAGTGACCGAACGTGCATCGTCCGAGAGCGGGTCGTTGTCCTCCTCGGATGCGTCATAAGCTGGAGATTCGATAATCTTTGGGTGTTTTCCAATCGCTCTTTTCGCAGCGACTGTTTTTCTCAAAGACAGAGGAGCGGCGTCGCTGTCCATGATATCGAGTGAAGAGGCAGGCGTAAATCAAATCTCCGCAATGACAATCAGCTGAAGTGTCACTGTGATTCTCGTCACGCCAAGAACGTTTGATCGTGGTGGATTGGATCAGATTAGATGGTTGAGAGATTGCCCTGGGAAGGTACATGTTACAGCACTACTATTGCCTGTGACCACAGACCGGGTATAGCATTTTTTTTTCGTGAGATCGGACTTAGAAGCACCTTATCGGTTCGAATCCGCTTTCCATTTCCTGTACAAATATGATACTCTAATACGTCTCTATCCCTGATGAATTCACGTTATGTTTTCTCCAAACTCTCAGAAGCGTCAAAGCAGTCCGGATTCGCCATCTGAATATGCAGAGCTCGATCCCAGCTCGGAATATCGCGCTATCCGTAATCTTTGTGAGGGCGGAATCGCATGATCATCTGAGATGTGAGGAACTCCGCCATGCAAGACTCCCACACGCTTCATCGCGAGCAACTGGAGCACAGTTAGTCCGGCTTTTACCAGGAAACGGGATGACTCACATTGTGAGCTGCGTTGGAATGATCGTAGACCCCACCAAAGAAAGCCGCAGTTGCATCTTTCCCGATATATTTAACAACGACATGAGCGCCGCCTGGATGCTCGTCGATGAAGTTGGTAACGTCATGGATGAATCCAGATATGAGAACGAGCGGTCGCTCGGCGGACTGCTTCTGATCTGCATGTCATGTTCAGCACAGAGTTGAGCTGTGTCAAATTCCACATACAAGATTCCCAATTGATAACAGGCAGGTCATTGCTATCCGTCGGCCACACGAGAGCATCTTGCGTCACTCTCAAGCGCTTCAGCTGCATGGTCAGCTGGCCTTTGCGGACCTCGTTCTCCGGGAAAGTCTTCAAATGAGACGCCAGCCCGAGCTTCTGGCAGATCCAAATGGTCCACTTCGTGGGATCATATTGGTACCACTTGATCGCGTTACGGTAATCTGTCGGGAACTGGTGGTGGAAATTGTGATATCCCTCGCCAATCGTGACGAATGCAGTAAGGACGTGGTCGCGAGGGGTGTGTTTGTCATCAAACGGCGCCTCTCCAAGCCAGTGGGCGAGCGAGTTCACACAGAACGTGGAGTGATGGACGAAGGTAAGCCGGAGCAATCCAGCGTAGATGTAGCCGCCCCGCAGATCACCCCAGAAAATCCACGGGATGACACTCGGAACGATGAAACCCATGAGCAGGATCAGCACGTAATAATGTCGATTCTGCCACTGGACAACCGAACTCTTCTTCAGGTCACTGATGTCGACAGGGCCTTGGCGAATACGAGCTTTGATGACGAGCCACCCGATGTGAGAGTGCCAAAAGCCTTCTTCGGCGTTGTATGGGTCCAGCTGCGTGTCGGTGTATCTGACAGTTGTTCTCGGCGACTGCGTGCGTGACAGAAAGCGACTTGCTCACCTGTGATGGGACCGATGGCCGCGAGACCACCACTTGATGGAGCCCTGAACGGCGCCTGCTCCACCGAGTGCGAGAATGTACTGCAGCAAAGGCCCCGCATTGTAGCACCTGTGCGCCCACAGCCGATGATATCCCGCCGTGATCCCCAGCCCCGTGTAGAAGTAATATGCCACCGAGAACAGCGCCGTTTCCCACCGGAGAGGAGTGTAGTACGCGCCGATCGCCCCGAAAAGGGGAACAAGAGTGAGGAGTATGGCGTGAAACCAGATCACTTCGCCCATCCAGTTTGTCCATGATACCGCCTGACGCGACTTGCTGTTCTTGATGAGGTGCGCGACATAGGACTTAACCTCGGGGCTGTTGGGCTCCGCCATCTCGAGACACGTTCTGAGATCTATGCTGCAGTTGAGCACTTATATCATTTATAGGCAATTCATTGGGGGGTGGGGGGCGTGCATATCTTGGGGAGAAGTGGCCAGAGTTGGGTCCAGATCTTGGGGCAAATTGCACAGGTTTGATCACTAGCATACTTACTGGTGCATGCGTCACTCTTCGCAAGATGTTGCAAACGACCGGACAAGAGAGTGTTCCATCAAACACACAGTTCCAGACCTCTTCAAGACTAGGGTATGCAGAGAGAATTCCGCGAAGCAAGAGCAAGATGGTGAATATCGAGACCTTTCGAGACCTTGTGCTCCAGACCGCCAGACTGCGGGTGTCCAAGCATGTCAGCCAAGCTAAGCGGGAAGAAACGAGAACGTGAATGAAGGTTCGGATCAAACATTCACGTGTTTACCGGAATCGTCGATTTTGTGTGCACTCTGTACCCAGTATGCTCAATTTCAACAAGTTAGAGTTGAAGACATCAGATTGACTAGACATGTCAACGAACAGTCTAACGATCATTGATAGGTATATATAGATAAAAGATAATTGACTGCAACACAATTGCACACATCAGGATTTCATCGGCACTTGCTTTGATCCATGGACCTCCATGTTGTCGACTCGTCTGTTGATAGCCCCGGTCAGAACCTTCACCAGGCCGTATCCGGTGATGGTATCTCTGCTCAGCTTGTTGTAGATCTTGAGCTGATCGTACGTGACAGTATCAACAATGTCCTATACAGTAAGTTTAGCCTCGCAAACAGAATTTATCGGAACGACAGACGGACCGGAAGTCCGGTTTCCTGGTGAAGATCGTCGTCCAACTTTTGCAAAGATCGGGTTGCGCCTGGGTCCGACCCGATCTGGATGAACTGAATCCCAATCTGAGCTCATGAGCACAAGTGTCCCCAGCGAGACATCGAGATGTACGGACCTGATTCAACGGCACTTTGTTCTTTAACCTCGCAATCTCTTCCGCTGCATTGATGATGGGAATGGCGGGATCGTCAGCTGCATCTGCGCGTCAGTCGAGTGAAATCGATTCATGCATGATCGGCCTACATGACTGCCCGTCTGTGATCACGATGACATTCAAGCGTTTGATCTTCCATCCTGGAGTATACCGGGACATATTCAACTTGGTGGTATAGCTATTCAGCACTTTTCTGAGGTGCTCCCCGATATCGGTTCCTCCCTGGGGCCGGATGCTGCTGATTGCACGGAGAACATCCTCGCGACTCTGACACACAGTCAACACGGCTCCAATCGATCAAGCAGCCTACCCACCTTCAGTCTAGTCAATCGTTTTGGGTGGTTAAGGAATCGGATTTCGATTCCGTCTGCATCGTATTTTGCCGCTGTCCCTGCCAAAGCCCCGAGTGCGTCGACCGCCTAGCGCAAGGATCCGTCAGGTCACCCGGTCACAGGCACCAAGCATCGTCCACATTACCTCACACCATCGGCTTTTCTCGTGGTTTTTTTCGACATGACGCATCGAAGAAGAATCGTCCATAATGACCACGACATCGTATTTGCGAAGAATCGAGCAATCCAGCTCAGAGATGTCGTTCTCGTCCTCTTCCAAGGTCGGTGGTGGGACATATCCTTCCTTTTCGACCGGTGCAAGCTGCAGAGGGCTCGCCAAAATGACAGAGACATAACTTCCGTTGGAGAGTGGTAGTATCGCATTCGAAGACGAGGGGCTGAGTAGAGAGGGAGATGGAGCAAAGTAAGTTGGCGGCGCATCGTGATCTCCCACGGAGATATGGGGCCGTTCGCTTGGCTGGCTCAAAGAAGACTGAGCAGAGTTTGAGGTTGATGTATGCATCACGTTTTCGGTAGAGAGAAAGTAGGGGGTCCGTTATCTCGAAAGCATCCTTTTAAAGAAAAGTGTTTGCTGATTGTAAGCTGTGTTCCGGCCCGTCCAGCGCTAGAGCTAATCCGGGGCCAGACATACAACGCGTAGGCTGTTACATCGATCCACAGCTTTCATGACAGCTGCCGAGGACAAGTTGTAAGAAATGTTCTGAAAAGAACGTCTCGAAGCACTGCCACCTTCTGGAAGTCCTCCCAGTCTTCAAATACATACGGGGAAGATGGGACGGATCAGCTGTGATACAGCTCGATCGGCGCTGAAAGGCAGTGTCGGTACAGGTCGGTACATATATACCCCGCGTGCGCGTCAAAGTCAGGTTTGATCCATAAATTCGTGCACTGATAGTCTGATTGCAAGCACTCCTTAGATCGTGGCGGTGCTGAAGATCTTATCATCCGAGTCAGCGCTTACTATCACTTAGAACACGTCCCTCGACTTCCAATGGCTGCAAATATCAGTGAGCTATCGTCGCCGCATGTTAAACAAGTTTGAATGCGATTGCCGTATGTAGTCTTCGTCACAGGAAACGCAAATAAACTCAAGGAGGTGAAAGCCATACTTTCTGACGGCGGCAATCCGATCAAAATTGACTCGAGATCGCTGGACAGTGCGTCAACGCTTGACGCTCATGATTCGTTTCATTGACGTTTGAGAAACCCGCTCCATCCAGTTCCCGAGATTCAAGGCAGTACGCAAGAAGTTGCAATGGCTAAATGCCAGAAAGCAGCGGAATTGGTGCGAAGTTGCAGGTGCAGGTATCCATCTCAAATCAACCCAGCGAATCCACAGCTCGGTGGCCCCTGTGTCACTGAAGACACAGCACTTTGTTTCGCAGCCCTGAATGGTCTCCCTGGTCCCTACATCAAATATTTTCTTGCCGAGCTTGGGCACACTGGGCTGAATGCACTCCTGGCTGGATTCGACACCAAGGCTGCTTGGGCGTTGTGCACGTTTGCGTACTCTGCAGGGCCAGGTCAGCGCTCAGTTCCTCGCGTCATCTTAGACCTGAACTCTGTAGGGTCGGAACCGATCTTGTTTGAGGGTCGGACGGACGGATCGATTGTCCCGGCAAGAGGTCCCGGAGTCTTCGGCTGGGATGCAGTATTTGAGCCGACAGGAACCGGATTGACGTATGTTCTCCCGCTTGGCTCTATGCTTCAATATCATGAATACCGACTTGCAGATATGCGGAGATGCCAGCAGAACAGAAGAACAAGCTCTCCCATCGCTACAAAGCCCTTGAGAAACTACGCGTGTTCTTACAAGAACAGGTTTGAAATGGTCACAGTACAGGGATAGAGTGTGATGAACAATTCGTATGTTAGAACGGCCGCGAAATCAAAGACTACCGAGTTCGCTAGCCGGTTGAGCATGATAAGACTGGTCCATATTCCCAATAATATGGTAATACGTACACGCAATCAAGCAGATAATACAAGCACCCCCTCTGCGACGCGCCATTCGGCCGATGCTCCATCGACATCAAAAGGCCGTTGTCTTTTAAGGGTCAATGCGCTGTCGTGGGCGCCTCCAGACGTAGCCACGATCTCAGCGTCCGAAATCCCGAGGTTGATGTCCAGAGAAGTCACGGATGGCACAACGACTCGCAATCGACGAGGTTCCATGTCGAGCGTCGTCTTTGCTACTATATCGTGGGTCTGGAGTTTTTGGTTTCAAACAACGATCTCCGACAGGATACAAAAACGTACCAAGGAAGGAATCACGATGGTCAGTTCCAACCTGTTGTCCTCTGTTTTGCGCCAATTCCACTTCGGTCGGGATTTCGTGGCTTTCTCAGCTGCCCCGACCTTCAAGAAGCTTTTGGGCGGGTCGACTGTTTCGATCTCTTCGATGAGAGGCTGCGTGGGGGGGTTCAGAAACGTCGGGAGGAAAGCATTACGCGGCAGTAGTTTCCCCTTCGATGCGATATTCGGGGTAGAGATCTGACGAGAAAGAACGAGAGGCGACGAGTCTTCAATCCGCTGAAGCGCAAGTTCTAAACAGACACTTATGACGGGCACAAGGAACGAGCGGACTGTCTCGCGCCTATAATGAATGTTTTGAACAAGGGGTCCCGCAGAATCCTCGAACGGATTGAAGAATTGTAGACACAGTCTAAGACCAGGGACGGTTTGCCAGCTGGTGCGCAACGATCAGCTAGTGTAGGCGATGGAAGGACCGAGGCGCCGACCTTTGTCTTTGTCTCCCTAATGGGCGAAACAACGACAGGAACAAACCATGCACCCGGGTCTGGTTTATCCGCGTCATCTTCGCCGCGCATCGCTCGCTGGATGGCTTCCTCATTCCCTTCGGGTGGCGGAGGAACGTTACCATCGTATGCAATGTTCACGAAGACTTTCAATCCCACTGGAACCGGCAGCACCCGAGGCTCGAGAACATTCTCTTTCGTAGCGAGTTCAATACGGTAGCTTGCTGTACAGTCGACTTGACGCAAAATCCAGCGGTAGGACTCAATTTTGTTTCGATGCGTGTAGACATCAGAGAAGATTCAGATGTCACAGCCACATCCTGTTGACCACTTGTCTTACAGCTCCATTTCCCATCCAATTCTTTCGCCTGGCTCAACGACCTGATCCTTCCACAATAAGTACCTTTTTGCGCGTGCCACATTCTCGGTTGAAATATCTCAACTCTCCTCCTATATTATCAATGCGACGCCCGCAAATCTTCTGCCACGAGAGTTGTGCACTTCTCCGTTATCCAAACGTCATCCATCTCTGCGACTCTGCTCCATTGCATCTTCGCCACTCTGGCTGCTGTCACGCAATGGCACACACCCGAGATTAATAGCCCAGCTCCATATACGTTCTCCAACACGTCGTGTGCGACATCAGGCAGGGTCGTCCAGCGCTCCTTGAGGCCAAGGAATGCGATGGCGATGTTCAAGCATCCAGTTGTAAGGAAGGCGATCTTAATCTGCTGGTCTGTCCTGGGTGTGCGGTCCAGTGCTGGTTCGATCCGTGATGTGCAGCAGTATATGGAGTAACTGTAAGGCGGTGGTCAGTGTTATAGCGTGGACCGCGGATGCCTCGAATCACCATAGATTCATCACGACGAGTGTGGCTAGTCCCGGTCAATGAACGATGACTCGGAATCGCTCAGAGCAAGAATCGCATACCAGTTATCCTGCGTCTCGCGTTTAGCGGAAAACTTCGAGACGCACATGGACTGCTCACATTGTGTTTACTGGCGGGATCATGGATGGGAGAAGAGAATGTGTCTAGGGCTTTCCTTGCCTTGCGAAGTCCTTTTCTACCGCACCCCCTATGTTCGCGTTGCGTCAATCAAAGTGCCTGACGTCAAGCTTTAGGCCACGCAGGACTATCACGGTACGCGACGGCGCGATCAGCGAGATTTCTGAACGCTCAACAGCGGCTACAGAAACGAACCCGGTAATCGACGCGTGCTTTTGATTAACAGCTGACGAAAACCATCGGGTTGCACCGTTCACCTGCCTCAGTCTGCTGTAATGCATGACGAAGCCTGAGCCATCTCACTGGTACTAGAGCTGATAAGACCATCGCACATGTTTAGAGATGAACGGGTTGCATGCATCGAGGCATCTAGAAAGCAATGGGTTCACTGTCAGCGCGATCTTTCTCGGGACAGGCGGTACATTGTCAGAGCTCAAGATGTCCACGTACTACAATGGCTAAAATCTCTACACCTGTCAGGCATTTTCTAGAGTAAAGCCGGCAACGAGGAGGCCTTCCTCCGAGCGCTGCCGCTGACCGCGAGGTGGATTTCTTGGACCGAGCTGCGAGTGCAAACAAGGGTCAAGTCTGGATCGATCCCGAGTCCATCGAACACGTCTTCAATCGGTCATTCACGCTGTTACACGCCGAACGTATCCATTTATATTACTAGGCAGCCCAGAATCCTCGAGTTCAGTCCTCTCAGCTGAGCATTTACCTCAGCGTCGTCCGACCTTCCTGAACAGTTTCAACTGAGATCGTTCTCGAAACTCTTCGGCCACATGTCTCAATAGACCAGATGGAATATCGGGGATTGAGTGAAGGCAGTGCGACCACACGACGGCTAGCGAAGGCCGTTCCTGGATTCGCGGAGGTGTCCTTCGGGGGGCAATCGGAATACAGCCCTTGAGAGATCAGCTTCGAGATCCACGGAGTGCTTGCCGTCGCCCATGGGCTCAGTGCTGCGGTTGTCGCATCATCACCGCCGGGCGAAGGATTCAAATGCGGGTGATGTGACCCTCGTCTTAGCCGACAGAAAACTGGACACAGCTACCATGGCGTTGAGCCACCATTCTAAGCAGTGGATCTGCGCGGCTGTAATCGGGGTTCTTGGCAGATAGTTTTTCCGGAGCCTGGTTTTAGTGGAGGCCTTGAAGACTGGCCTTCATTCTGGCAAATATCGCGACCAAGCATCGGAATAGTCGTCTTTACAAATGTTTTTTGTGAAGCAGGTGTAGAGCAGTCAGCCGTCTCGAAGCGAATGCGCAGAACTGGGCATCGCATCTAAGCATCTTCCAGTTATTCGCAAACTTGTCGATACTGCTGACGTGCACAGCGATCGCCACATCTTACAGCTAGGAGAAGACGAGCGAGTTGGCACGCATTCAGTCTGGTGAACCATGGACTGTGTCAATTCGTCATCTAGCAATGACAGGCGTGTTGAACAATGTAGACAAAATCGAGCTGAGATCAGCGACAGCCACTTCCTGATGATAGTCAGCAGCAGCATAAACCATCAAATATGCAGGTCGGATGGCATCGTTGGTGTACACCACAGTTTCGGCATAGTTGAGATCTCCGCCAGGTTCGCCGACAATCTGTACATCAAAGTGGGAAACGAGTCTGCGATCGATGGAGATGACACTCACGGAGTGATACCCAGAAGGAGGCTCGACAAGGTCCACCGCATTGTAGTGCCGCATCAGAGCGTTGCCCACGACCACTCTGTTCACTAACAACACGCGAAAAGGGGATTCAGCAACACCGGTGAAGTAGTCATCTGCTTCTACAGCTTGCTTTCAGTCTTCACAACCAGCGCAGTAAAGGATCGGCTGACTGGATGAACAAGACGTAGTGTATATCCCGGATCCAAATCTGAAGCTCAATCAGGGGGGGTCAATAATCTGTAGTGAGTCTATTACCTGCGGAACTTGTGTCGCTTGCCTGTTCGTTTTCTCAGCACACTATCACTCAGATAGAAGGAAAGCTGTGCACCACATTGAGATGTGTCAAACGAATCTCTCAGCACCGAACACAGGAGACATGCGTCCAATTCGCACAATTGAGCTTTGGCGCGCTGGTCGCCTAGCAGACAGCTCCGTGCCGTTCCATGGAACAACAGCTGCTCGTTGGCATGCCTGGCTACATGAGATAGCTCAACTAGCGCTCTGAAGGAGATTAAGCGTCGAGAAGAAGCGGGAATGAAGCAAGCGGCTCGTTCACCGGTAGCGCAGATACGACATCAAGCTCTCCTCCGTTAATACGATCTCGAAGATGGCGTGAACTTGGGGCTTGGGCTTCCCGGGGTGGATCCACGACTCGCGAAAGTGCTTGTCCACTGAGGTCAAAGCTGGAGATGCATTTCAAGAAAGGAAGCTGAGTTCACACACGTTGTTGATAGACCGTATCTTGCGGACTGAGTGCAAGCAAACGGGTGGTCTTCTTCTTCGGTGCCCGCCTAGTCTTGCGCTTGAAACTTGCGAGACGGGATATCATTGGGTTCAAACCGGTCAATAAGTGTGTGCAACCAATGTGGGCGCATGATATTGGGACTTTAAGCTCGGCATTCGCATGGCGGAAACGAGTGTGGCCGGTTGGCGTCTAGACTAGGCATTCACACGAGAAACACGTGTATTTGGTCCGGCCAGCCTCCCTCAGACTTCGGGTTGACAGGGCATCTCTGAAACGCGGGATAGCTGAACAAAGGGAAAGTGGTGCGGAGGAAGCAAGGCGCGTTCTGTCACAGCGTGACAATCGTGCTTGCTTTCTCGTCCCGATGATGGACTGCTACTGCTCGAGGTCCACACGTGTGGATGAGTCACTCTGCAAGCTATTCAAAGAGCAGCTGCGCACTGAACGCTAATTATCTCTCTTGAACATGCAGCAAACCCTCGAGCCTTCGCCCGTCATCGTCACCCGTACACCTTCCTCTACCACGATCGTTTCTCCCGTCGAGTCGCTGCCCGAGCAATCTTCAGATCGGGACACGACGTCTCCATCGAGCACTGTGTCCAGCGGCACTATGCACTACCGTATCGAGCAGCGCCGATCGGTCTACATTTCCACGGATGTCGCTCCATCCGAGTGGGACACGTCACAATTGAACAACCTTCTTGACCTCAGCAACGACAATTCGTACGCTGGGAATAGAGAAATTCGAATTAGACTCACACATTCTCTGGCCGACAGGCAGATCGTCTTCTCGCCGCCCAAAGTCGACCCAAGACCCTTGCCGATCATTGATACGCCGATGAGCCCCATCGCTCGCGAAACATCGCCTTTCATCGAACCCGTCAATCCTCATCGAGGGAGCACCTTCGCACTTCGCCGCAGAGACCGAGACTCCAAGGCTGTCGCTCTCCGCATCCCAATGAGCCCGCCCGCTGGGTCACCCAAGAGGCATTCGCCTCGCACGCCCACTCGCAGTCGAATTCTGTTCTACGACAAGAAGGACCCTCACTATGGGTTCACGAACTTCTCGGCTCATTCGGTACTTCACGACGGCAAACGATATCCCACAAGCGAGCACCTCTTCCAGTCGTTCAAGGTGAGTAAACGTCATGTATGCTGTGGTAGTGGAGCCATGAACCGACTCCTTCTCGAGTTCCGACCTCATCGCCCCAAGCTTGCAGAACATATCCGAACATGTTCCGAAAGACCAAGTGTGGCTTTCTCCGAAGCGCGTCGATTCCAGCCCGAAGTGCGCTCTGACTGGAAAGACGTGAACATCCAGATGGCACGTCTTTTCCCCTCCTCTTTCTGTCCTGATCTTGACTGACTGCGATGCAGATGGATATCGCGATCTGGCACAAGTTTACTCAGCATGAGGACCTGAAGCAGGAATTGTTGGCGACAGGAGACGCAGAACTGGTCGAGGTAAGCTTTGATCCGAGTTTTTCTACGCTTGAACGAACGTGCGGCCAGGACTCAGACAAGGACTCTTTTTGGGGAGTCGGTGCTGATCGGCGGGGCAGAAATGAACTGGGCAAGGCCCTGGAACGTCTCAGGACCAAGCTCCGGGCTGTGAGCCTGCCCTGATACACGAGCAGGCAGTCTGTTTGCAAACACGTGTCAGAACACATGGAGTCCGTATGTTACTTGTATGTTAACCTTTTAAACCGCTATGTATCTGGCCAGATATCATTTCACCTCCTAATGGCTACTGCTGCTGCTGCTGTAAACCCCCAACTATGCGACGTGAGTGAAATGCCCTACTTGTGTTGATGCGCTGGTTCCTCATGCGCTTGTTGCGTCCAGTATTGTCACCAGGTCCGTCTCTGTGGTTCCATCCGCTCGACTTTGTGTTTGACAGCCTCAGAAACCGAAACACGGAACGCACTCTTACTGCTCCAAGACCTGCGCTGCTCAGATCGGCACTCTATGCAGCTTCTGCGGAAAGAAGCCCAAGTTCCAAGGATTTGAGTATGCGGCAAGAACTGCGCAGCTGCAGCCGCAGCCGCCAATCCGGGTCCCCTTCCGGTCACCACCAAGAAGAATGTGCAAGCCAAGGCTCCAGTCGTGGGGGCCCAAACAACCATCGACCCACTGCAGATCGCGAGTTTGTCTCTTCTTGTCCGCGCCATGCGTCTGCCTGATTCGTGGACATCCTCGCAGAACTGGTCGCCCAGCACATCCCCCAAGTTCAAAGCTTCATTGCATCTGTCGCTCCGCAGACCGCACCAGCACCGGCTGGTGCTGCCGGTGCGCCAAAGAACAACCCCTTCCTGAACACGTTGAAACAGGCCGCCACGACTCTCGTTCACGCAGGCGTCCACGCTGCCAATAACAACATAGCCTCGGCGCCGGCGCCCGTTCCCGGGGTGCCGGCTGCTGCTGCTGCACAAGCTCACCCACCGGTTCAGCCGCCGGCCTGCCTGATTCCCGGCTGCGGGCTGCCTGTACACGTCGACGCATCAGGGGCCATGAGCGACTTTTGCTCCAAGAAACATCGAGAGTGCGTCCAGTTTCAGTGGCCGGGCTCATCTCATGATTCACAGGGAAGCAGTGTCATCAGGACTGGTCTCCCCGTGCATCATGTGTCTCGCCCTTCCGCAAAGCGAGACGGATTACTTCTGCGGCAGGGAGTGTCGCGAGGAGGCGCTAGATAAGTCCTTAGGACCATGATCAGAATTCGACGAAGCAGTACAGTTAAGATCGATAGGATTTGACATGTAGATTAGATAAGAGATATTATCGTTCACCAGATCAACGCTGGCTTGAAGGGCGAGTAGGCGCGTAGCGGGGCAACGACTCGACGGGTTTGGTAATGAGCAAACCTGTAGAGGCGGAATGTTAAGCATTCTAAACAGACACTCGAATGGAAAACACGCCTTTCGAGCCAGCGAATCTATCACCCTTACCCCCGAATCCATATCCCATTCTCGCATGGTCCCCTTTCTCGTCACTCTTGGCCGAATTTGACGCGAATGAAGGAGTTAACGGAGCTCCCGGGCGAATGTCGATACCGGCGACATGGGTCGGCAACGCATCCTTGGTATGTTCACGCCACGACGTGAAAGACCGCTTGCCCCTGGCCGATTCACGAAACACCAGGCCAAAGAAGATATTGAGACAGCCGATCGAGAACATGAAAAACGCAGAAACGAGAGAAAACTGGTCGACACGATGCGACAAGATTGCTGCACCGAGACTTGTCACGATTAGTTTCAGTACCTCCAACCAGAGCCAGCTGCCAACTTACAGGCATTGCATAACCCCCAACGGCCCGAGCCCAAAACTCTTTCCCATAACCGGGAAGTATCGATTGAAGAGCGCCGAAGGCCATCCAAATTCGGAGAACAACAGGAATGTGACTTGCGCGACGATGAGCAGGCGATTGAGCACCGCCCAGAACACACCGGCAGGCTGATTGGGAATAGAGCTAGATCTGCCAAGTGCTTTAGGATGATGCTCGGAGCCAGACAGAAGAATCGACGGACGGGATGTAGTCGCCATCCAGGATACCCTCAACAGTGGCGTTAAATCCGATCTGAGAAACGCTTTTACCAGCTTGGAACTGGTTGAAAGCCTGGAGATCGTGCACTAGGGTGACGACATTGCTGGCGAACACGAGGAGTAACGTGACGATGGAGAGAAAGCGCAGGGTGTTGAGACCGATGAAAGCATCTGGCACACGTCGTCAGTGAGTCTCTTCCGTTGCCGCTGGAGCGTCATTTTGACCCACATCCGCGAGCAGGAAGCATCTCGTATGTTACAAAAGTGGACTGTTACAGCAAAATTGAGACAGTGGGTTGTAGATGCGCCAGCACAAGTCGGTCGTGAAAGAACGTAAATGGAGAGAGTGGAGTGAGAGAAGCACGCCCAGCATATGTTCGCAAGGGCCTCGGGGCCTTATAAGAGTCTCCTTGACGGCAGAATTCATTGTTTGAGAACAAGGTCGTATCTTACGTAACGTGGCCATTCCTTTTGTCTCTCGCCCTACTCTCATTGACTTGACACGATCTGGATGATATATACAAGAGTATGGATCTATAGCATGCAGCGTATACTGGAGTACAGAATTGTAATATCGCAGATCCTTCACCTGAAGTGAAAAGTAGATATCAAGCAAACCTCAGTTCCTTGTATGCAACGATCGATCGACGATAAACTGAATGAACGTAGAATCCTGGGCCCAATCATTTAGCTGTCTCCAGCCTTATACGCCAAAGCCAGGGGATCCCGCTGATTCATGACGGTTGCGACGACCCTCGAGAGAGCTTGATTCAATCTTCGACTTTTCGCAACTCCGTCCGCTCGATGAGAGATCTGGGCAGTAGATTTGCATTATCGCCCTCAAGAAAAGGATAAGAACGTACATGAGATTCCGCAACCATCAAATCTATATGCTTTTGGCTCTGAGCGGTCGAGTAACTGCTGAATAGCTTATGCGCAGACGGGAAGTCAACAGCGATGCCCTTGGCCGCCGCAGGGGTGACTTTGTGCACTTGAGCGAGCATCTTCTCCCAAGTATCAGAGAGACTAGTCCCTGTAGCCTGGCGGGTGTCAGAGCAAAACGGCAGATGAGAACGCTCTATAAGTCTGGAAGATGTAAGTTGCATCGAAGACTACACAAGGACGAGACTTACTTGTAAGGCTTGATCCCCAAATCTGCGCTCAGGTCGTATAATCGTTCAACAGCTTCCGAGACGGTGTCGACATACAAAAGATGGACGTTCTCAGCCATCTGCAGTGCTGCAAGTGAACGTTCGATTTCAGGTTTTGTCATCTGCAATGGATGATCAACGGATGAAAGGAGAATACTGCACAGCGTACCCGGATTCCTGACTTCCGCCTCAGATACGCCTTGAGTCCATCGACCATTATAAACACTTGGCTTTTGTTTCCACATACAGCTCTAACCTCCTTCACTACACCTGTCCCACCGTCCTCATCCTTCAAGTGGCGCACCAGCTCATCAGCCTTCAGGTGGATGAGACATGTTCGCTCATCCTTGACGCACTCTTGCGAGGGCATCCATTGTCTGGCCTCTTCGTCGTATTCTGCTGTCGTCATGCGCCTCCATTTGAAGACGTCATGCCCTCGAACGATACGTGACGCAGCAAAACTGACAGTCATGTCGAACTCTTCCAATCTCGTGCGGAGCGCATCCGCCAGTACTGTCCCCTGGAATGAAGGGGAAAGTATAAGCTCCATGTTTTTGAGTGTGTTCTTCTTGTTGATGACTAGTTTGTTGGCAGACTGGAATGTTTTCTTAGTGGCCTTCTCTGCAGCCTAGAAGAGGTTCAGTCTGAAGGTCGCGTAAGAGTTGAAGCTGAACGTACAAGTTTCTTGGCCTTTTCAGCCTTCTCTGCAGTCTTTTGGGCCTTCTTGGCTTCGGCAGCCTGTTTCTTATGATCCCTTTCAACCTCCTTTTGCGATGCACTCTTCGGTGAAGCACGCTGTTTTCCAGTGGTTGACTAGGCAAGTTAGAGATCTATTCGCACTCGAGAATGAGGCAGGGTGACCTTCTTCACTTTCTTCCTAGGAGATTCCTCGTCGTCTTCGCTACCACTCTGTTCGTTCTGGAACTCGACACTGGAGGTAGATGATGGAGCAGAGCGCAGAGACCTTCTTTCAGGTGATGAGACTGGTGTTCTTTTTCGCTTCGAGCTGCCGGCCACTGGCATGGGGAAGGTCGCGGGAAGGTCATCGTCGCTATCGCTGCTTATGTCTATGCAGTCGACGTCACCAGTAGTAGGAGGTTGAGAGGACGACGGAGGATGTGGATACTCGTCCTCAGAGTCGGAGATTTCGATGACAGGATACATCTTATGCTTGGCAATCCTGAGACTGCGACGAGTCTAATGAAAGCTAGTGATAGGAGGACGGGAGTTACATGTCACACACAACGTGTTGTTACCGATGGCGTTTGATCTAACCTCATTCTGGGGAGTGAAGATCGCAAACAAATACCATTCACTAGTGTCCAAGCACAGACATCGGCATATAAGGCTCCTCAAGATACTTAACGTCTTCAGCGGTCAGTTTGAGATTTACAGCACCTGCCCAGGAACATATGAGAAGATGCAGAAGAGATGATTTGTAGGACTCACCCAGGATGTCCTCCAGATTCTTCAACGACGTAGTCCCGATTATGGGAGCCGAGACCGGATCTTTGTTCAAAACCCATGCAACCCCTATTTGAGCCATGCTGCATTCGTACTTTGCGGCAAGCTCTTCGACGCGTTTGACGATGTTCTGATTCGCAGCTGATTGGGTGTACAGTGCGGGACTCATTCTGTTTTCAAGTCAGAATGCAATATGCCATTAGCTGTAAATCTTTCTCACAGATCAGTCGTGCCCCGGGCAGTCTGTTGAGAAGAAAGAGGACGAGTTAGAGCACCACGCGCTAGAGGAGACCATGGAATGGAGCCGACACCGAAGTGCTGCACAGATTCAGGTCAATCGCCAGGTATTGGGCAATTTGGATTACACACCTTGAGAGTGGGCATCATCTCACGTTCCTCCTCGCGGTAGAGCAGCGAATAGTGGTTCTGCATCGAGATAAAGGGCGTCAGATTGTTGTTAATCGCGTAATTCTGCATTGCTTGGACTGGCTTGGAGTGAATACAAAAGATCAAGAACGAAACGACGGGCTCACACTGATATGCGTAGCAAGAAGACATGCCGATGTATCGGACATAGCCAGCTTTCACGACATCATGGAGAGCTTGCATCTAGTCGATCATCAGAATCTTGCCGAGGAGTCACAGCACTCTGCTTACAGTCTCCGCGATCGGTGTTTGAGGGTCAAAGCGATGGCCTGTGTCAATCAGCTTGTGAGTCGTGGCTCCTAGCGGGGCGGAGACCTGAATCTTACATTGGAAGAGATCGATATAGTCGAGCCCCAATCTCTTCAAACTAGCTTTGACCGAGTCGAAGATGTGCTAAAGTGCGACTCAGTCAAGCTTCTGAATTCTCGACAATATCTCACACCTTTCGGCTCAGCCCATGCTGGTTCACGAATCCTGCGGCATCAGGGTCGGGGATTGTGAAGGTCATTTCTCCATTCTTTCCAACAGGACTGAACAATTTGGTCATGACAACGATTTCATCACGCGGGAGGTTATATTTCTTGATCGCGCGTCCAAGAATCTCTTCCGAGAGACCGTTCGAGTACACCTAAGCAATGGCAGAGGCCCGTCAGTAATTGGACACACAAGAGGGAAAGCCCGCACGTTGGCTGTATCGAAAGTATTGATTCCAGCATCGTATGCCGCCTTGATGTGTTTCTCAGCCTCCTCCTCTGGCAACACCCAAGTCCCCATCCATTTGGGGTCGCCGTAGGACATGCATCCCAAGATTATCTTGGATACTTTGAGCCCAGAAGAGCCCAAACGAACGTAGGTCATTTTCTTGGGTGCTGACATGGTTGTGGTAAGATTCAGAGAGATCGTGACTTCGATGTTGGTGAGGCCGGGGTTTTATATTTGGACTGAGCTATCGGCAAGAAGCTTGCGTTGGCCTTTCGACCCGCCCGGCAAGAACGCGTAACCAGCTTCAGCATCAAGGGCCGATGGTAAACAGATTTGACCAAGGCTTAATTTCCAAGGCAGGCGTTCTCATTCGATGATTCATGATTAAGCATCCTGGTGATGGGAGCTCGTGAAGGTACCGGGATAGGACGTGACGTCACATGTGTGGACCAGTGACAAAGTCTAGATTGGTCGACGCCGCTCGAGTTGCCGAACTCCCGCCCCGTCCTTCTGCACTTGTCTCGCCGCCCTGCCGCACGACAAGATGCTCAAGTTCCCTCCCCTAGTTCGGGAACGATCTGTGATGTCGCTCCGCGCCTTCTCCAAGATGACCGTATGCCGCCGACTACCTATCAATGCAACATGACCTCAAGCTTGAGACAGTGCTATCGCGGATTCAGTACGTTACCGGCGCGTCATACTCCATCAGCAGCCACTGCGGCAGCCACACCTAACAACATTTCTACGACTGAAGATGGAGCCGATGACCTACCAGTCGTTAGCCTGGATGAACGCAAGGTCGCAGTGGGGTGGGACACTAGAACCTGGTCTCGATAGTGCGGTTGTCTTTCTCCTCGAGAACCAATTCCTAACTTTCGATCAGTCACAACATATGGTTAAGAGACCATTGTCGATGTTCGGAATGCTTCCAACCGATAACGAAGCAGCGCCTGCTCAATACATTCGAGGTCCGATCCACCCCCTCCACTCGACTTGCCTGTAGTTAATAGATGTTCTTCGCTAGATACCTCCTGACATCACCCCATCCCAGGCCGACGCTACTCCGGAAGGCCTGCAAGTATCTTGTGTGTTTCCGTCACCTGAAGCGTTGGATGCGGTTTCTGACATTGATTAGGGCCCTCCTCCAAACCTCACACTTCGTTCTACCCTTGGTCCTGGCTTCGAACCAATTCATATGACCCGCCACTCGTCTCTCGACAACACAACGAAAAGATCATCTGGGGCTCAAGGATACTGACCACTCCACCAACTGTAACATATGAAGAAGCTATGGCCGCAGACGATCGAGGCCTGCACAAATGGCTTTCCTACGTCGTGTGTTTCTAAGTTCAAATCTCAGCGACGGAGCTGAACATCTCCTAGGACCAGTTCGGGTTTTGTTTCGTTCAAGGAGTGCCGCCAACGCCAGAGGCGACGGAGGAGTTGGCACAACGAATCGGATTCATCAGGGAAACTCAGTGTGAGTACATCTGTGCCGCGGTTTGGTGAATTAACGTCTGACTACCCCAGACGGGAAATTCTGGGACTTTACGTCAGACCTTGCCAAAGGTTATAGCTGCGATTAGAGCTTTCGATGGTTCTGACCTTTCTACACAGGAGACACGGCTTACACCACATTGGGACTAGGAGCTCACACTGACAATACATACCTTGTTTGTACCCGTCGATTATCATATGGTCCAGGACTGACACTCGCATCAAGACCGACCCGTCAGGCCTGCAGCTCTTCCATCTCCTTTCTCATACGGAGGGCACCGGCGGTTCCACACTTCTCGTTGACGGGTTCTACGTCGCGTCGATCCTGAAGGAACTGCACCCCGAAGCGCACCAAATTTTGTCCTCCACGCCGATTCCTGCCCACGCCGCTGGAGAAGCCAACGAGTTCTATCAGCCATCGCCACCGTCGGGATATCCGGTGCTCAGCCACGATTCTGTCACGGGTGAGCTGGTGCAAGTACGATGGAACAACGACGACCGGAGCGTGATGAACCATCTGGACCCCTATCTGGTCGAGGCGTGGTATGAAGCGATCCGGACATGGCACAAACTACTGTCAAGCGCCGACTCGGAGTATTGGGTGCAGCTGCATCCTGGTACCGCCGTCAGTGAGTCGCCCTGGTCTAACTCCCCGCCGTCTAAGCGCTGGCTGACTCGGTCTACGTAGTCATCGATAATCATCGAGTATTGCACGGACGATCCTCCTTCACCGGCAAGCGCAGAATGTGCGGTGCCTACATCGGAGTCGATGAATATCGATCCAAGCTCGCTGTACTGCGCGAGAGATTTACCTCAGACGGACGGAGTGTCTGGAGTGCAGGGCTGTAGTCTCCGATAGGTTCCGAGTAAATAACACAGCGCATATCGGACCGTGCACATGACGGAAACTTGTTTGCATACATTCGAAACGTGAGGATTTGGTACAGTGTGAGTCCCTCAAGCCAAGCCTCCGAACACGATCAACTTGGTGTTCATATATTCTGCGATTCCGTGACCTCCTTCACGACCCAGTCCACTTTCCTTGATACCACCGAACGGGATCACTGCTTGGCTGATGAGTCCGGTGTTGGTTCCGACCACTAGCAGACATAAGCAGGAGTTCTAGGCAGGGTAAGACACAGGACTTACTTCCCACCTCGAGCTTCTCTGCAACACGCCAGACTCGTCCCACATCTCTCGAGAAGAAGTAGCCAGCGAGCCCAAAATCAGTCGCATTGGCCATCCTGATGACCTCCTCCTCTGTCTCAAACTTCACCAAGGCAGCGATAGGGCCGAACGTTTCTTCCGTGTTGATCAGCGCGGTGGAGGGGACATCGCTCAGGACGGTGGGCTCGAAAAATGTCGAAGTGCCAGGAACCGAGGAGCCACCAACAAGGACCTGAGCACCCCGAGCAACCGCATCATCGACATGGGACTGGACCTTTTCTACTGCCCGTGAGTGGATCAGCGGGCCATGGGTTCTGAAACAGAAATGAGAATCCGCAAGCAGCTTTACGGAAAGAAACCTACGAGCTCTCATCCAACCCATTTCCGACCTTGAATGTGGCCACTTTCTCAGCCAGGCGAGAGGCGAATTCAGCGTACACAGATGAGTGCACGAACATCCGATTTGCGCAAACACATGTCTGACCAGTGCCACGGAATTTGCAAACGATGGCAGCTGGGGCGCACAGTCAGCTACTGTCAATGGCGTCCTCAGAAACTAACCAGCAACAGCCTCGTCAATATTGGCATCATCGAACACAATGAAGGGCGCGTTTCCTCCTGCTTCCATGGAAACTCTATCGGAACGTTTGTAGTTGCAAGTTTCACAGAGGTTGCTCACTTTTTCAATGTCGAAGCGGCCATCCCGGTCAGTAATTTGGCAACAGGCGTCGACCCAGTGAATGTCACTTTCTTCACGATCTTGCTTTCACAAAGCTCCTTCCCGACTTCGGCGACGTTTTTCTGAGTAGTAACAACATTGATGACACCGTCAGGAACACCGGCGCGACGGGCGAGCTGAGCGGATAAGCTTCTGCAATATAAACTGTTTTTATTGATACATACCTCAACCAGAGCAAGACAGGAGAAGGGGGTTTCGGGTGGGGGCTTGATGACACTCGTGCAGCCTGCGGCCAAAGCTGCAGCCAACTTTCGGGTTATCATGGCCGACGGGAAGTTCCACGGTGTAAGGATCGCACTAAAGACGCGGAACTGAGATCCTATTCGTAGGGAAAGCCTCTGATGCTCACACAACGCCTGTGCAAGTCGGTCAGATAGGATGATCAGCAACTTCCTCCAGAACTCACCGACAGGTTGTTGGATGGTCACATTGCGAACATTGGGGAATGGAGATGGGATGGTTTCTGCATCCAGTTGAAAGAAGGACATTCTTCGAAAATATCTGCGACTAACCTCCGTACGTCCGGACGGCTTCTTCCGCTGTCGATCATGTGTGCTCAGTCGTGCGACTGAACTTCCCCAAGAATGAGAAGCAAGAGACGCACCGAACCACTGCATGACACGTTAGTCGCATCGTGGGTCATGGTGAGATCGAACACAGACCTCGACAAACGATGCGCTGTAGACGTTCTCGCCCTGGATTTCTGATGAGATATCGGCGTGCGTGGCAAGCGGAAAGACACTCACTTTGCCTTCTGCGAGAGTCTTCCCATTCTCGAGAGTCTAAACCGCCGAACACATCAGAGATTCGGCCAAATACTGATTGGCTCCACGCACGATGAGCCGACCGAGATCGTCACCGTGCTCCTCCATGAGCGCGGACAGTTTCATCAAGATATCATGCCGTGTCTGGACAGTCAACCCCGGTCAACACAGGGCTTTCCGGATACGAGAATGTAATCGAACGGACTTTGGGTGTTGTGCGACTCCAATCGGGAAACGCGTTCTGTGCCGCCTCGATCGCCTCCTTTGTTTCTGCGAGACCCATCTCGGGAACCGTGCCCAAAACTTCGTCCGTAGCAGGGTCTAAAGCCACGGATGAGCATCTGTCCACTGAGAACAGGGCGGCGGGTGTGGCGCACTCGTCACCGTGATGGTCTCTCCACTCTTCGCGTCTAACCATTGCCCGCCGATGAACGCCTGAGTTTTCACGAGTGAGAAATCCTTCAGACCGAACTAAATGCAGGAGCGATGTGAATGGACCAAGTCGCTGCCGGTTGGTGTTGATGACGCACAACGGAGGCTTGAGCGCTGGCCATTCTGCGGACGATATGTGAGTGTGGGTGTAGTGGTGGTGTTATGGAGTGACTGGTGAGCCTGAGAAGAGATCCCAGCCGCATCTGGTTGGTGGAAGTTGATAAACGACCGAGGTTAGGCAGGTCATGACCGGGTAGGCGGCCGTTTTGACGTCACTTGTGACAGTTCAGCCGAGAGCTTTCTCCTGTTCTTGTTACCGATTCATCCCGCGACGGCGCGGCGCGAGGCCTTCTATATGGCATTCATGGGCGACCGATAGTCGCGTAAAAACGCGCCTTTTCTGGCGGGCGTAAGAAAGCCGGGCCAGATCATCTGCTAGGATGGAGGATCCGGAATTGGGTTGTATCTGCATCGGAAAATTCGAATTGAGTGATGTACTTATAGTGCTAATGATAAAATTGATCCAGGAATATGGGGAGATAGTACTCGGTCGACTCGAGATCTAGTGGCAGGAAATTGCTCCTAGATCTGAGAACTCTCAAGTATACTTTAATGACTGCAGACCATCCACGAGTGAGAAGTCGTATAGAAAAAACAGCCGGTGGTCGAGTACATTCGCGACCTGCAGTGTAAGACAGGCAAGACCAAGGGTCTGGAAAAGTAGCCGCAAAAGTTAGTTTGTGGCCAGTTCAGGCCGCTTTCCAGGGCATAATTCCACACTGAGAAAATAGCAAAAGAGGCCTGCGTGGACGAAAGATATACCATATCACCCACGTGAACAACACATCTACACCTAGCGAGGCCGTAGTTGGTTAGAACTGTGATATCTTGTTGCAGGAGACGCACCTTATCTGCTGCAGTTCTTCTTCGCCGTCTATAGTAGCTGACTCTGAATACTTGGAGAGGCTCAGCTGAAACTAGCATAGAGGGTGGAAGGGACCTATCCCCGCCGGTCTTTTGGGCTCGCATGTGCAGCCCGGACCATCGCACTCGTCCATAGATCCTGCGATCATACCACGCATACCACCATTCACGATCATGTGCGCAACCAACCCTATCTCGCAACGGAATCAAGGAAGGGTCGACAGATTGTAAACTCAACTCAGACACGTACGGGCCACCCCCACCGAGCGACAACATACACCGTTCACTTGTCTCTGACGCCAGCACGACCTCGGATGTAATGGCTAAGTATATGGTTGGTGTCGCAGAAGCTTCTGTTTGTTCGTGTCGGGGTCTTTCAGATCGGGGAGCATACTTAAGCAGAGTTGCGAGAAATGGAGTGATCGTCGCAGCGCAATTGAGAAGCATCGATGGGACCTGGCTGACAACGCGAGCAGTGTGTTTGACATGGGGGCCGAAATGTTTTCTCCGATTGGAACACGAAGGAAGCGTATGAAATGCGGACTGAATGTCGCTTTGATTGCACTCATTCATAGGTATGCACGTTGAACAGATGATGTTCATGATCACGAAAGCAGTCGTAGTGGGTCCTTCCTGTAGGGGAGACTTTCGGCAGATCCAGACAGGCAAGTATTCGGCGACGATCTCTCTTGACTCATCGTCAGAAACGACGAAAGTCGAGTGAGCGTTCGTGTCTGAATAGGCACTTGCAAGCAAATTTTAGTCTTTAATGGCAGTGAATGACTCTGCCTTAGTCCAATTTATCAAGAAAACGCGTCTGACACGTCTTTGAAACGCGTTTCTGCTGCGTTCCAGTTAGCTGACGGCTACTTGTCGATTTGTCTGAACATGTCGTCCATGAGACGTGAAGCCGCGCCATCACCAGACCAATTTGCAAGGGATTTAGCGGTACCGATGTGTAGGGCGTCCACAGCCAAGAAGAGATCGCGAACAGGAAGATACCAGGAAATGAAGAGTAGTGGGCGGCGGGGGAGCTTCCACCCGACGTCATCAATTGATGCCGTCGGAGCAGGAGCCGAGCCGTTCAAGTCTTGAATACCACTGCTAGCAAGGAATAGCTGCGGAGCTGGATGTACCGGAGAGTTCTGCCCGTGTCTCACCATTATTTATAACTCTGCAGATGCCCGTCTGTCCGGATAGGACCAAGAGCGTTCATACTCATGGATCAAGGGCATTCGCGAAGTTATATTAGTATTAGTATCATGTCTTTTGGACCTATTTATATGGGATGGTAGCGCATGAGCAGGGGCCTCATTAGTAATTCATGCATTCGGTCGATGAACGTCGGCCAGAGATTCCGAAAACCGTACGTCATGAGCCAGTACCCTCCGTGCTCAGTGGAAACGAGGGCCTACGCAGGATCATGGCCATACATCGGGGGTGACTGCGACTGGAACGTGAATTGTCGACGCGCCGGAAGTAACCTTGAAGCTCAAGACCCCGGCTTGGACTTCAAACTTTGAAATCCGGTCCCATTGCTGACAATACGTCGCCTTCAACACGACTGCAGTTTGCCTTGATCAAGAAGCTATAAGCTCAGTACTTGGAGAGCGCCTGCATAGTACAGCAAGCAATCGAACAGTCCAGCATGTGATAGGCGAGACCAGCGGTGTCACTTTTTGCAACACCGGCTGTTCCTCATTGGGACCGCACCGGTAATCTACCTACCTGCATACCCGCTGACCAAGCCTCCATCTCTCGCTCCTCGATCATACAGCTCTTCCACCGAGTGCGGTGACAGCCACCGCACATATCACTTCCACTCCAGAGGGACACCGTTCTCAGAAGCGATGCTGCCCAGTTCAATGGCACAGCCAGACCGCATCCCTGCACCTCGTTTCTATTTGCTGCACGAGGCAGTCATATCAGCGGACTCAGGATGAAGCGTATCGGCCGACCACGGCACGCCGTCACCATCTCGAGGATTCATCGGTACTTTCGGTTTCCAGCCCCGATGGCTTAAATAAAGACATTGACTGTTGCTCAAGAGGGCACGGCCTTACCCCACACCCGGGACCCGGGCACGCATGTCGACCGCTGCTGCAAACGTGCACACTCCAGAGACACAACGGACTCTCGCGGCATCGTCTCACACCAATGAAACTGCAGAACCGGTGAATCATGAACCCTTCGATATCGAGCATATGCCGGTGGAGGATGATCCAAGGGCTTGGTCGCCGTTTCGCAAGGTGTGTTGTTATTTTCGAGGGCACGAGTCTCGGTTTGATGTGTGCTAGAACGTCGTATTCTCGCTTATAGCGTCTGCGTCTCTGATTGCAGGCTTGGCAGCGAATATCCAGAATCGTGCGCGCCTCTGTCATGGACACCGCCAAAGTATGCTGACTCCATGTAGCGGCTATTGCGGACATGGAAGCAGAACTGCATGCGACTGTGTCTCAAGTCAGTTTATCCATCAGTCTGTTCATCCTTATCCAAGGATTCATGCCGCTGGTTTGGACGGCCATCAGCGAGATATACGGCCGGAGGATTGTCTATGTGACCTCTCTGGCTATCTTCACCGTGGCATCGGTGATTGTTGCAACGAGTAAAACGATAACACTGTCTGTCTGGTTACGCTTTGTCGCCGGCGTCCGGAACTGATCGACGTCTCTCCAGTGTCATTGTGTTCCGGTGTTTCCAGGCCATGGGGTGCGTCTCTGACCAGTCAGACTGCCGTTTGGTCTAACGTTGCAATAGATCGAGTGCTGTTATGGCCATCGGTGCAGCGACACTGGCAGACATCTTCGATCCGGCTGAACGAGGAACAAAGGTTCGTCTTGCGTACGCTATCTGACAACCGTATCAACGGCTCTCTCTCAGATGGGAATCTACTATATAGCTCCTCTCCTTGGGGTGAGCTTTATTTCCTTCTTGCCAACACACAATTGACCATGATCTGTGCAGCCCAGTCTCGCACCGATTGTGGGAGGTGTACTAACAACGGGGTTCAATTGGCGGGCGCCCTTCTATTTCTTGGTGATTGTGTCAGGATCCAGCTGCGCTTCTATTGCACTGTTTTTCCGAGACACGTTCCGCCGGGAGCGCAGCTTGACCTACCAGAGCGTGCTGAAGAGACGATTAAAGTCAATGTCTGCTTCCAGTGCTACCGTCGCTGCCGTCGAGAAGCAGCCAGCGACATTGTCAGATGATCCGGAGAAGCAGGCTGAACTTGCGCCATCCGGTGGCGCAGCTGGTATGTCGGATATCAAGCTGTCGCTGCTGGATGTCAACCCAGCCCAACCGTTGTGGCTTGTTCTCAAGCGACCCAACAACTTTGTCACGCTTTTCGCGTCTGGGCTTATGTTCGCATACAATTTCTCGGTGGTCTTCACCGCTTCTCGGACGCTGAGCTCAGCATATGGATACAACGCACTCAAAGTCGGCTTGGTTCTGCTCTCGTTTGGATTGGGTACATTCCTCTGCTCCTCTATGTTTTCGTGATTGGCCTAACGCATGCACAGGGAATCTCGCTGGCAGTGTTCTCGGCGGCAAATGGTCCGATATCATTCTGGCCAAGCTCAAAGCAGCAAATGGTGGCAAGAGCGATCCGGAAATGCGACTAGAGAGCACAAAGCTCGGTCTGATATTGCTGCCGCCTTCTGTTGTGGCATTCGGATGGGTGTCTGCCAAACACGTCCACGTGTCTGCCATGTGCGTGTTCCTGTTCCTGTCTGGCGCGTTCGGCATCTGGGCCTACACGTCAACTCTCGCCTACATCGTCGACGCCAACAACGGCCGTTCTTCGACTGCAGTGGCGACGAACAGCGCATTCCGGGGCGTATTCGCCTTCGTGGCCATCGAGGTAGCAGTGCCACTGCAAGATTCTATTGGGGATGGTTCGTGTTTTTCAAATTGACATCTCCCATCCACATCTCTGATTCATCTCCAGGTTGGTTGTACACCATATGGACTGCGATTCTGATCATAGTCGGATTGCAGATATGGTTAGTCAAGCTCAAAGGTTCAGCGTGGAGAGCAAAAGCAGAGACTGCGGAGTATCTCAGGGGCCGCGACGACAACAGCTAGTTTGGATCCGATAGAGCATTAGATTCATGTACTAGAGAATGGCTGTCAGCCCACTCATAATCATCTGCGAGTGAAATTCATCAGTGCGCTCCACTCGATACTTTGCCAAGCATAACGACTTTTGGGATTTACCTAAACTGTGGGCTGTATCGAGATCAGCCAGCGAAAAGTCCCAGGTAGGTTCAGTAGCATTCGTGGCTAAATTGGTAGTTGCGGCCATGAAAACATATCCCTCGACCTGAGCGGAAATCTTTACTGTACTTTGAGCGTGGGAAGTGGGATCCATATTTGCTGTCGTTTACAGCCCGCTTCCAAGTTTGATTTCAACACCGACGCGTTCTCGGGTGCGTTCTTCCGGTGCCGTCTCGTGTCCTCATATCTGAGACAATTTCTTGGACGACTGTCTAGGCCATAGAATCTTGCCACCGTTGCTCGCAAGCCCAGCCTCTGCGATACGCTAAGACTTTCTCAAGCCCAAACATCTTCGTCGCCACACATTCTCGGCTCCAGACGATCTCATCATGGCGCCCGCCGCTAAGACTGGAGGGAAAGCGCATGCAGCAGGCGCTGCTGCTCCAACCGGAACCAATGGGCAGACGCGTGTCATGCAAACGAGGAGCCAAAAGTCTGGTCTACAGGTGCGCTGCGGGAGTGCTCGTTCTGCTGCGACGTCCGAACTGACCTACGAATATCTGGGCTCCATTCTAGTTTCCTGTAGGCCGTATCCACCGATACCTCAAAGCCCGGACCCAGCACAGCGTCCGCATCGGTGCCAAAGCTGCCGTGTACACCACCGCGATCCTGGAGTATCTGACGGCTGAGGTACTGGAACTTGCCGGTGCGTGCATCTCCTCTCGCTCGAGCCTTCTTTCAGCTCACGACGGATCACTCTTCAGGCAACGCGTCGAAAGATCTGCGGGTCAAGCGCATCACTCCTCGCCACCTTCAACTGGCGATACGAGGAGACGAAGAACTGGACACACTTGTTCAAGCGACAATCGCAGGCGGAGGTGTCCTTCCCTTCATTCATAGGAGCTTGACATTGCCAAAGAATCAGAAGAAAAACGAAGTGCCACCTACCCCTTGAGCCTGCTACCTTTCTGTACTATTTTCCTTATACTCACCTCTCGAGCGGGCAGTATTGTCCTCTATTATCTTTACTTTCTTGTCTGTAGTATAACTATTATGCGCGTGTATTCTCCAGCGTCATATGTACATAGTCTTTGACTCTGATTTCACAGCCTTGCATGAGTAGTTCTCCAGTGTCTCAGACATCGTCATAGGGTTTGTTTACATTGTATTGCAGCTCTCCGTGGCCGCACAGGAGAAGGAACGGCCACAGGACATAATTGGTACATGTATGTATAGAATATAAGAAACTGGTGAAAGAGACACACCACAGCGAAATATTATGCGTAACCAGACGGGACAAGGTTCGTGCGAAGGCCTGCAGAACTCCTGAGTCTGTGCATAAGCAAAGCAGATCATGGAACACGATATCTGGCCAAAGAAGATAAACGTCACAGTGGGACATTTTCGTTTGAAACGTCCAGGCGTTTGGTACCCAGCGCACGAGTGAGCCGGGTCACCTTTGTGGGTCGCTTCCTCCAGCGGCGCCGCTTCGTTGTTGAGGGCCGACCAGACAACTGCTCCATAGCCTCGGGCGTGATCTCGTCAGCATCCAGGCATCCCAGAGCTGTTAGCCAGGACAGACCTGAATCCTCGTCTTGTTCCAATCGGGGCTGTGCTTGCGCCTGCCTGACAGCAAGCGCACGGCGGGACCGCGTCCTACGCGATGGCCGCCGTCGATGGGCCTTACGGGGAGGAGCTTGTGGTGAAGAACCTGGATTAGAAGCGCCATGAATGAGGCTAGCCATGGCGTCGGGGGTGATGTCGTCGGCATCCATGAGGGCCAGAGCGGGGAGCCACGTCTGACCTGAAGGATGTTCAGTATGGTGGGACGGTGATGAAGACAGCTGATGAGCCATGCGCAATTTCGTCGAGTGGGGTGGTGGTGGTGGGCCGTCGACCAAATTGGCCATGGTGTCTACAGTGATATCGTCTGCATCTAAAAGAGCTAGGCCTCCTAACCAGGGCTCGATGGATGAGTCTTCCGATGCAGGGGCAGATATGTGGAGGTGGGTCGGATATTTCGAGGAGGATATATGGGAGGGCTCATGCACGAGTTGAGCCATGCTGTCTGGAGTAATGTCTTGCGTTTCGAGAAGACTAAGTCCCATCAGGAATGACGAGTTCAAGGGTATTTGGGGTTGTGCTTGGGATGATGCACTGGGAGCGAGGCGCGATCGCAATTTGTGTAACCGGGCCGCCTGCGAGGAAGGGAAGAGACCATTCCCATGTTTTGCTTTGTGAGAGCGGCGTCGGTGAGATCGAGATGCACGAGAATTGGATTTGGATGTTGCCGGAGTCATGGTGTCGTTGTGGTGGGGGAGGAAAAGCCGTTAGGTGACCAGATCAGAACGTGACTGATCTTTTGAGTCACTTCGGTACCGGGACAGCCGTTCGTAAACACCGACAAGCAGGCACTTGTGCAGCTAAGCAAGTACATATGCAGATCAGTTAGAATCGATTCTGAAGGCTAACAATCGTCCCCTATCGTCCCTATGCTCATCGAATTTGCGAGTAGTGCACTTCTACTTTGTACATCATCTATTCAAGAGGATAACGGGCACTTGGAGCACCCTGATCCGCCGGCAGTGCAATGCGTATCTGAAAGAGCGCAGACGGTCCTCAGTTCGCCTAATACCAGAATTGTGTGTTGATGGATGCATGAAAAAAGGATACATAATGAGGCATGATACGACATGAGTAGACGGGACATGGGGAATTTACTCCTTGACGGCACCCTCCTCCACGGCCAAAAATGCCGACCGCTTCTCGGTGATGCGAGCAGCACGACGTTCGCGAGCAGCCTGTTAGCAGTCAGAACGTGAGGTCGAGGGGATGAGCGAGTGACATACCTTGTTTTTAACACGGCGCGCCTCCATCTGGTCAGTGAGAACCTTGGTTCGGCTCTTCTCAGCCTTAGCTTTGTGGATGTACTCCATCAACACTCGCTTATTCTTGAAGACGTTACCCTTCGACTTTTGGTACAGGGAATGGTAGCTGCGAGTAACATTCAATTATCACATATCAAGACCGATCAAGAGGCCGACGCACAGGTGTTTGTCGATCTTCCCAGCTTCCCTGTACTTGCGCAGCAACCGTCTGAGCACACGCTGTCTCCGCATCCACAACACCTTCGTCGGCATACGAGCCTCCGCAGTACCCTTCCTCTTACCCGGGCCAGTGTGACGTCCTTTCCTCTTTGCAGCAAGGAGCGCCCGCGTCCGTGCGCGCGAATGAATAGTAGTCGGCTTGATAATGATGTCGCCGTCCTTGATCAATTTCTTGATGTGGGAGCGCGAGTTGGCGCTGGCAATCTCGGACTGCTCCGCGGGATTCAGCCAGATTTTACGCTGGCCGACGCCCTTGACGGAGGCGGCGAGCCGTTTTTGAGAGCGAAGGTTGACTGGAGGATCGTTTTGGTGAGTTTAGTGGAGGAGCGCAGAGAAAAGGCATACCCATCTTGATCTGAAAGGATGTCAGCGGGGAAGGATGGATAGAACGATGAGCAATACCTTGCGGACGGTCTTTCTGGCAAGCGGTGGAACTCGATGTAATTATGTGTGACTAGGCAGCAGCACGTGAGTGATTGGTCGCGGGGTTGGGGTCAGATCTCTTCTGCTACTCCCGTGTGCAACAAGGCTTGATCTTCCATGGCCGCCACCTGTTGTTAATTACACTGACATTCGATGGGAACGCGTTGGCTATGTCGAGCTTTGCTTTCATACTAGTCTTGGAGCTTGGTGATCTCAGCCTCGTCCAACCCTGGCCGATAGTACGCCATACGCTTCCTGTCAGCCACAGATCAACTCTTTGGCAAGCTGCAGACGACGTTCGAGTGTCGGGTGTATCTTCGTGTCGGGATACCCATTCATCTGTTTGTGGCAGAATCTATGATTTCTTGTTCATGCAAACATCATCCTACGCTACCCTGACTATATTAGAAGATGACTGATTTGAATGACGGATGGCTACAATCTTCCCGAACAGGAAGCATCGGCTAGCCTTCCCCCGCTAAAGTTCAGCCTATACTTTGGCCGTAGCGCTCGCGAAGTTGGTCGCGGATGTCTTCTCTGATTTCAGCCGTGGGAGAGGCCGTTAGCCCGAGCCCTCGTGATGTTGAGACGGCCCAGACTCACGTCTCTCCCATTCACACATCTAATGGTCCAATTCTGATAATGAACTCGAGGTTCTAAGGAGAATGAAACCTTACAGCCCCATCCTCTTTATTGGACCCTGCCCTTCACAAAGAAGACAGGCATCTCTGTCTATCACGATTGGCTGGACTGCCCTCCGCTGCTTTCTAATGTTCAGGTGACTTTCACCGGGAAATTTTCTTTGAGCGTCCAGTGGGAAATACCAAAATGTTCTAACTTGTGGGTCCTGTACATCGTTAAAATTCAGATTACTTTCCCACACTACTAGCTTGCAAGCAAGTCTCCTGTGTATTTCTGTATGGACTGTGCATCCGATACAGATCTCTTTGATTGTGAACAGAGAGGTCACGATATGCCTGAGTAAGATTCTTGGTAAGTTCGCTGTCCTCACGAGGAGTTTCTCGGGGAACATGCAAACTTGAAGATCTTCGATATTTCATTACTTGGCACTTCTCCGAGACTTTCCCGGGTTGGCAGGGAGGCATGCATCTGCACACAGCTCTCGAGCCGCAGAAGCTGATTATTTTGATCTGACACGCGTCCGGCGAGTAGGTTACTATCTTGTTACTCTCGTTCGCGCTCTCTCTTTGTCAAAATCTGGCGGACTACGCTCTTCAAGGCGCATATTCTGAATCTCAGGAACTGACGATGACGTCAAACCTCCAAACGCCGATCAGCTATTCATTTTTGGCGCTGGATCCCATTAATCTTTATCTTATCAACTCGGCATTGTCCGCGGACGGATGCGATCGTTCGGAGGAAGGCCATTTCTCGTCGGTTCTCTGGATAGATATCCCACCGTGCTTGGCGGTTCGTATCCATCGACCTGTCGACAAGAATGCACATATCACTGCCGGGCATCGACTTGAGCCAGCGAATGAGATTGATACCGAGGTTCTCGACCGGCCGCTATCGTCATTGGTGTGACTGGCTCAGTCAGCAATTAAAGGGGAAAAGCCAGGAGCAGCCCCAGCGCTCCGGCCAGGCCAGGCAAGGTGTAGATAGGTGAGCAATCAGTAAGACTCCAATGGGACCCCGAATATGGTGCGACGAAGCTTTACCTGCATCGATTGGAATTAGAAGTCCCCTGGCCTTGGCCGGCGTTGAATGCACGATAGACTGAATCGGCGATCGAAGGGTGGATTTTGCACGTTGTTGCTGTCGAGACCGGGCGGAGACTGTTCAGAAGAAGGCTGTGGCCTAGCGTGTGGGAAGCTTGGGGATCGCACGTTCAGCCGAAATCGATACAGTTATCGCCGAAAAAGGATGACCCGTCTTTTCGTATAAAAGCCGGCGCAAACATCCAATGGGCATCACTCTCTTCTCTCCTAACCAACCACATCTCAATCCTCACGATGGTACGTAACCGTTGCTCCTCATCCTGGGGGATTTCGTTCTTATCAGTGTTCAGGTCAAAGTCGGAATCAACGGGTACATATCCTGGGTCTTTCTGCCCGTTCGATCGCTGATCTATTCTATCTTTTTTCCAGTTTCGGTGCGTGGAGATCGCACCGACTATACTGACAGAAGCTAACTACCCATCGCAGGTCGTATCGGTCGTCTCGTCTTCCGTAATGCCCTTGAGGTTCCAGGACTTGAGGTCGTTGCCGTCAACGAGTGAGTCATGTCTGTGGTCTGACCCACTACACTCGCTGAATAATCTCCTCAGCCCGTTCATCCACCTTGAGTACATGGTACGTTGCGATACCCCTCGATCGATCTCAAGGTTGCGATATCGATGTCGTCGCGCAGGTTTACATGTTGAAATACGACTCCGTGCACGGTCGCTTCAAGGGCACCGTCGAGCTTAAGGACAACAAGCTTGTTGTCAACGGCAAGCCTGTCACCATCTTCGGTGAGAAGGACCCTGCTGTCATTGCCTGGGGCCAGGCCGGTGTCGACATTGTCGTTGAATCCACTGTGAGTTGAGATATTCTCGTGTCTACATCATCGCTGACAGTCGATGTGCTTAGGGTGTCTTCACCACTATTGACAAGTATGTGCTGACTCTTATTTTGTGGCCTTGTGCTGACGGTAGTGCAGGGCCTCCGCTCACTTGAAGGGTGGTGCCAAGAAGGTCATCATCTCCGCCCCCTCGGCTGATGCCCCCATGTACGTTGTCGGTGTCAACCTTGACTCTTACGACCCCAGCCACGCTGTCGTACGTCTCATGCTTCTGAGCGTCATTCATCTGTGCTCAAACATTGTAGATCTCCAACGCTTCGTGCACGACCAACTGTCTTGCTCCCCTTGCCAAGGTCATCAACGACAAGTTCGGTATCGTCGAGGGTCTGATGAGCACCATCCACGCGGCGACCGCAACACAGAAGACCGTTGATGGACCTTCGATGAAGGACTGGAGAGGTGGACGTGCTGTCAACAACAACATTATCCCCTCGTCCACCGGTGCCGCCAAGGCCGTCGGAAAGGTCATCCCCACCCTCAACGGCAAGCTCACGTGCGTGAAGTCCATCTTACCAAGCGAAGCTGATGCTGATCTCCTTAGTGGTCTTGCTTTCCGAGTCCCGACTGTTGATGTTTCCGTCGTCGACCTTGTCGTTCGTCTGGAGAAGCCTGCCAAGTACGAGGAGATCGTCGCCGCCGTCAAGGAGGCAGCCGCTAGTGACTACAAGGGCATCATCGACTTCACCGATGAGGACCTCGTCTCGACCGACTTCACCGGCAACACTGCCTCGTCCATTTTCGATATCAAGGCCGGCATTCAGCTCAATGACACTTTCGTCAAGATCATTGCGTGGTACGACAACGAGTGGGGCTACTCTCGCCGTGTCTGTGACCTGATGAAGTTCGTTGCCGAGAAGGAGGGCTACTGAACTATCTCGGGTTTCTAAACTCCAATTGTACTGTAACATACACACCCGGAAGTGATGAAAACAATAGAATGCGCTTTCACGTTCAATCATCTTTTTCCCGCCGCGGGCGCTCTCCTGGGCTCCTATTACTACTAGCCCCTCGTTGGGTAATAGCAGCCGAGCAGAAGGGAATAACGCGTGATATGACATTACGCGTCCGGTCACAATGGCACTCGTGAGTCGTGACTAGATCTGTCGAATGTCAGCATCACTAAATGGCGGCGCTCAAGACGATGAAAAGCACCTGAAGCGTCTCCCAGAGCCGGAAGTGCTCGGTGCGTACCCAAGCACCTCCAATGAGGGATAGATATACACCAGGGCATTCAAGCGAAGCTCCAGCCGGTCAGCCGTCAGCAAGCGACCTGAGCGCTTAGCGCCCCTGAATGGATCCGTAGCGCTTGGAAGTAATTAGCAGCATTTACAGCACTGGCCGTCCTCGAGAACCTGGTATTCACTTTGATATACTTATAGGCCATAATAGCGCATGATCTCATTCAAAGAGCTTGATGCTCTTGAGCACGCTGAGTGCCCTGTGTAGCACTTGTGAGCTTGTATGAGGCATTTGTGTGCTTCACAAACTTTCAATTCCACTTTTCAGGCTACACTGCCCATGTCCTGTGTAGTAAGCAAATGAGTGTTAATTGATTGCGCATGCAGAGGGTAGAGAGCAGAGAGTACGAGGACAAGAGGAGAGAGCAAGCACGGGGCAGCACACTCTGAGGGGATCATTTCGCACATGAATGACATACTTTCTTTCTCATAGATATCTCATAATGGCTTTCCCTGCCTCCCTCACCCGACACACAGTTGGGGACTGGGTCAGACTTACCTTGACCGAACGCAGAGAATTGTGCGGCGAATGATTGGTGATTTGCACAACAGCAAGGCGATAGAATACAGAGAAAGAGTTCGAGGTTAAACAACTTCGGAATCCTCGATAGTCGATGGTGGATACTGAACACGTCGCACAGGAGGAAACAGACCACAAGATGCATACATCGAGTTGTCATACTAAGCACTCTGTGAGCCATGCGAAAATAAGTCCAGAGAGCACTCACCCCCTTGGGGTTGGCCCGCGAGCGTGGCTTGAACTGTCTCCATTTCACTCGCGATGGATCGAGCACGCCTCCCAACGAGTCGATCCTCCTGACCATGTCTGCGAGGTGGGCCTGATCGAAGGGAGACTCGTTGCACTGGCGGTGTCGATCCTTGTACAGCACCGTCCGGACAGGAATAAAGATATGCGAGGTGTGTTCGAATTTTTCTGCGTCTACACCGGGCTCAGGTGTCTCAAAAAGGCCGTTGACATGAAAAACAGGGATGATGACGTGCAACTATATTGAAGATAAGACGCACGCGTAGGCCTAGAAATGCCTTTCCATTGCTCCACGTAGTACATACAATGATGCCAGTAGTCAGGTCCCAGGCTCGGTCCCAGGCGACCTGGGCCTTCGAATCTCTTGCGATAATCGGGCAAGGGGGTGATCACGTCGTAGAAGTATTGGACGCAGATCGCATAGCCAACGACCAAGGGCGGCGGCGGAAGTCTTGCGGTGCGTCGCTCGCTGCGCGGCATAGTATACAGTAGTCGTGTCGAAGGTTCGGGCTGACTCCTATTGAGTCAATGATTGAGTAAGGCTCGGCAAGTGACCATCGCGGTCACGTGGGAAAACTCCGACTTGAGGCTCACGTCTCGGATATAATTGAGGATTTGTTTTTGTATCCCTATCGAACGGTCGAGGAGTTTCTCCAGGAGAGATGATCTGATGACCCCCATGCCGATTTTCTTGACATCACACAAACAAGTCTCCAGACTTGGGATGTTCTGTGCGCTCCGTTCTTGATTATCTAGTCAGACTGTGCCAAGTTTCAAGAGTCTTGATTACAAATACAGGTAGAGTGAGGTAGATAAATATACTGTACAAATGAAATGTATGCTTCATCGACAACATGAACACAGCAAAAAGCAGCACATAGATAGCACGAGCACAGCGGAATCGACGATGGAGGAGAAAAGCGGATAGCTATATTGTAGCAGTGAAGGAGACAAAAAATGTCCTCAAGAAGGCACAGGAACCCGGGCTTTCGTGCCCGGGCAAGACACACTCACGTTCTCCTTCTCGCCTGGTGTCATGCTCTGTCGCTTTCGCGTCATTGACTGGTCAAGCGTCGCCGATACCACCCTTCGGTGCTGAGCCGCAACCGGAGTCGAGCTCAGAGCAGGTTTTGCAGACATGGATCGCGAGAGAGATGAGGCAGGTGTCGGTGTCCCCGAAACAGAGGGCCGAGCGGGGGGCGGACCCATCGATCCTCGGGTAACGGGTGGTTTGTTGCTCAGACGCGTGAGCGCAGGCAGTTTGCCAGTGCTGCTGCCCCGATCGCTGCCGGCGTCTGATAACACTGAAGGCGGCCGAGATCCCACACTGGGCGTCGCATTGAACACCGTCGAATCGCGGCGCTGCTGAGAAGTCTTTTGGGCTGGCGTCGAGCCAGCGGTGCCCCGGACACCCATTTTGCGCTTCATCTAGAAAAGCGTAAGTCTAGTGCATCGGACGCTGGGGAGACACTAGCCGCGGATGCAGCTCGACAGGCGGCGCAGAGAGCAACCCAGAGGGTCTTACTCGCAATGGGTGCTGCCCAGGAAAAAGCTGATGCTCAAATGAAAAATTATCTTATCGGAGATGCTAAGCGCTCTCTGAATCAACCGGTGCTTGGTGTGTCTATCATGAGGAACAGGGTTCGTCTTCGCGAAGCATCTTCCCGTTCTGACGGGTCCAATTAAACGGAGAACGACATACTGAAATCGGGAAGCATATTCGATGAGGGCTTTGCTTGCTACATTGCACAAAACTCAGGCAACTTGGAGCGCTCTCAGAATCGAAGAATTGCAGAGCTTGTGGGCAGAAGAGATGGCGGCAAGCGCTGCCCGAGCCGGTGTAAACGCTGCGGGACCATACGAGGATTGTGATGAAGAAGATCGGCACCGCGAGGAAAAAGTTGTCAGCAGTTCGGCTTCGCGTGAGTCAAGCACTGACGGTGGACCATCAATTTTATCATATCGTTCGGATCCCTCAAGCAGGAGCACCAGGCTTAGAGATCTCAGCTCATCTTCGCTAGACCTACTGAACCAGCTGGATCAGATACCACCCCCCATACACTGCAGAAGAGAAAGCGGACTTGGGGGGGATAGCGCAGACTTTGGAGATGATTCATAACTCGATCCAGGACTCGGATGTGGTCATTCAGCTAGATTCTCAAGCCAGGGTCGAGCCGCAATCCCAGGACACAGACGAGTCACACTTCCAGGACATGGATGAGCTCGCTCATAGATCTCCTGAACCTCAGGCAGCAGCAAGGCGAGGAGCTCATACTCTGAATCCGCCCATGGAGCAACCAGTATCGAAGCGCCCAAATCTTGTTTCACTGATTCACCCATTGTCTCCATTTGATATTACCCGTAAATGAGATAGTATGGTTTCTTGATGCCCTCTATCCCACAACCACTCACTGGCGAGGCCAGCATCATACTGCAGCAATAATTTGCAGGCGAGAGTCATCCAGTCAATTGCGGGAAGAAAGTTGCCTAGTTCAGCGTACAGCATACAATCGGTTCACAGTCAACCCAGTGGTCAGGTACACATTGCCCGCCAGCTTGCATGTAGTAAAACCAGTCCGCACACAGGGAAATCGGAAGGCCATCTCAGATTCACATTGGAGCACAACGGTTACTCGAGATCCGCTCCAAGTGCAATCCTGAGAACGTCAATAGGCCACGCATCAGTGAGCGTAAGCCGATCAGGCGTTCACAGAGTTCCTCCAATGATCAATGGCTCTTGGATAGCGCGTCGAAATTGAAGGGACGAGATGTTCGGGAAGAAGTTGAAGTTAAAGAACCTCGACATCCTCGATAGTCGATGGTGGATACTGAACACGTCGCACGGGAGGAAACAGACCACAAGATGCATACATCGAGTAGTCATACTAAGCACTCTGTGAGCCATGCGAAAATAAGTCCAGAGAGCACTCACCCCCTTGGGGTTGGCCCGCGAGCGTGGCTTGAACTGTCTCCATTTCACTCGCGATGGATCGAGCACGCCTCCCAACGAGTCGATCCTCCTGACCATGTCTGCGAGGTGGGCCTGATCGAAGGGAGACTCGTTGCACTGGCGGTGTCGATCCTTGTACAGCACCGTCCGGACAGGAATAAAGATATGCGAGGTGTGATCGAATTTGTTGGTGTCTACATCGGGTTCAGGTGTCTCAAAGAGGCCTTCAAGAGGATATGATTCCCTGAGAGATAAGAGGCAGCTATATAGAAGAAGCGACGTACGCATAGGACCGGAAACACCTTTCCATTGGCGTACGTAGGTGATACAATGTTGCCAGTAGTCAGGTCCAAGGCTCGATCCCAGGCGACCTGGGCCTTCGAATCTCTTGCGATAATCGGGCAAGGGGGTGATGACATCGTAGAAGTATTGGACGCAGATCGCATAGCCAACGACCAAGGGTGGCGGGGGAAGCCTTACGGTGCGTCGCTCGCTGCGTGGCATAGTAAACGTAGTGTTTGTGTCGAAGGCTCGGCACACGATCGTCACGATCACGTGAGAAAACTCCGAGTGAGGCTCGGATCCGGGATAATAATGAGGAATCAGGATTTGTTTTTTGCAACTCTATCGAACGGTTGAGGAGTGTTTCCGGAAGAGATGATTTGGTGACGCCCATGTCCATTTTCTTGACATCACACAAACAAGTCTCCAGACTTGGGATGTTCTGTGCGGTCGGTTCTTGATTATCTAGTCAGATTGCGCCAAGCTTCAAGAGTCTTGATTACAAATACAGGTAGAGTGAGGTAGATATATATACTGTACAAATGAAATGTATGCTTCATCGACAACATGAACACAGCAAAAAGCAGCACATAGATAGCACGAGCACAGTGGAATCGACGAGTGAGGAGAAAGCGGAGGATAGCGATATTGAGACAAGTAGACGGAATAAGATAGCAGTGAAGGAGACAAAAAATGTCCTTAAGAAGGCACAGGAACCCGGGCTTTCGTGCCCGGGCGAGACACACTCACGTTCTCCTTCTCGCCTGGTGTCATGCTCTGTCGCTTTCGCGTCATTGACTGGTCAAGCGTCGCCGATACCACCCTTCGGTGCTGAGCCGCAACCGGAGTCGAGCTCAGAGCAGGTTTTGCAGACATGGATCGCGAGAGAGATGAGGCAGGTGTCGGTGTCCCCGAAACAGAGGGCCGAGCGGGGGGCGGACCCATCGATCCTCGGGTAACGGGTGGTTTGTTGCTCAGACGCGTGAGCGCAGGCAGTTTGCCAGTGCTGCTGCCCCGATCGCTGCCGGCGTCTGATAACACTGAAGGCGGCCGAGATCCCACACTGGGCGTCGCATTGAACACCGTCGAATCGCGGCGCTGCTGAGAAGTCTTTTGGGCCGGCGTTGAGCCAGCGGTGCCCCGGACGCCCATTTTGCGCTTCATCTAGAGAGCCGTAAGTCATGATAGACAACGCCACTCGTAAATACTAACCAGTTCCAATTCTTGCTGCTTCGAGTCCAGCGCAATGTTCATTCCTTGCAGGTCCTCCTTGTCCTGTTTGTGCTGCTTCCCCATTTGCGCAAGCTTCACTTCCTTATCCGCACTCTCCTGCTGCAGCTCGTGGATTTGCCTCCGCAGACGCTCAACCTCGTCCTTGAAGTCATTGACGCGGTCACGTGCAACTCGGGCCTGCTCGTCGTTCTCCGTAGCCCGCTCAGCCAAAGCACTCTCGAGGGCAGTCGCATGCTCGCGTTTCAGACGACTCATCTGCTCCCGGAGCGACTCGGCCTCGGACTCGTGCTCCAAAACGCGCTGAGAATACTCAGTCACTTCAGCGTCGCGACGACGGATGTTTTCTTCCAGCCGCGTCACGTTGTCCAGGGCGTACTGGCGCTCTTGAGTCAACTCCACGATCCTGTCTTCGCCAGATTTGAGCGTATTTTGGAGGGCCTCGATCTCTGCTTCCTTGTTGTGGATCTGCTCGGCGATCTGCCCTCAGTCGTCAGTAAACGAATGCCATGGAACAAGCAGCTACGCACCTCTTCAAACTCTTTGTCCCGAGCCTCTTTCTCGTCCCACAAGGCCTGTACCTCGTTGTCGAGTTCGATCTGCTTACTCTCGCTCTCAGTCAGCTCGGCCTCGAGCGTGAGCACCCGGTCCTCAAATTCGACCAGCTCCGCATGGAGCTCATCTTTCTCCCTCTCTGCCTCTTGCTGGACCAACTCGAGCTTGTCAGCCGCCTTCTCGGTGTGCTCCCACTGTGCTTCCAATTCGATCTTCAGCATCGCCATCTGCTCGGCCTGCTCTCCCAGTTGCTGCTTGCAGTTGTCCAGTTCCGACTCTGCATCCGCCTTTTCCAGTTTGGCAGTCTCAGCGGCAGCGACCAGTTCCTCGCGTTCTTGGTCCCATTGAAGTTCCCGGCTGCGATGCTGGCGCTCCTCGTCTCCATCCACAACGAAACCCGGTCCAGCAGCGATCTTCCGCAGTTCGGTCTCGTCGATGGCGATGCTGACGTTGCTGAGCATATTTACCTGCTCGCTCATCGCATTCATGTCTCGTTCCAGTTGTCGTTCCTTCTCGTCGCGGCTCCACAGATCCTCCTTCAAGCGGTTCGCCTCTTCGCTCTTCTCCCGCAATCGAACCTCCAACAAACCATTCTCCTCCCTCACCACAGCCTGGATTCGCTTCTGCTCGTCACACTCTCGCTCAAGTTTCGAGATTTGCTTGTGTAGCATCCTGAGTGCCTCAGAGCTTGCCTCGTCCATGATGCTGCGTTCCATACTCTCATGCCGGGATCCCTCGACCTCCTCCTCAAGCAAACGGCACGCTCGCTCGAGCTCCACGACCTTCTTCTTCCACGACTTGAGGACGTTGCTCCGTTTTTTCTCCTCACGGTCAACGTCGTCCAGCTTCTTGCGCAAAAGATCAACCAGCTCGTCCCGTGCAGCCAAGTCGGTCTCATACTGCCCGCACAGTTCGGTCTGCAGGGCCAGCTGCGTCTTGAGGGAGATGATCGTGTCGTTCTCTTTGGAACCAGTCCGGGAATGGGAAACGGCCGGTGGCGGCGTCGGCGGAATGTTGGTCTGAGGTGTGTAATATGTATTGGCATTGGCACTGAAGGGATCTGGTTCGCTGTTGTAGACCACCAACTCCGCAGACGATTCGTCGTTGATGTCTGCCTCCGGAAGAGACTTGGGAGACGGAGAACGGAGCATCGACATGAATACCGTGTCGCTGAGTGCTCGTGGGCGCCCCGCAGCCACGGGGGACGATGACTCGGCAGGACTTGTGACAGAGCCCTCATCCTTCGCGGGACTGGATTGTGCACTCGATGGGAAATCAGACGACGTCGATGTCCGTTTTGAAGACTCGTCGTCATGGGCTATTGAGTAAAACATGGTCTGTCCAGCAGAAAACGAGTTGGTGCGCTCGTGGAGAACGGCGGGGAGCTGTGGTGCCTTGTCCTTCGCGTGGAAAATGTTTTCGTCGACGCTGGTTTCAATTCTAAGCTCCTCCTTCCCTTTGCCCTTGTCGCGGAAAGGAGTCGACGTCATCGGCTTGGGAGCTGATCCCATCATAGAGTCCAAGTCAAATCCAAGCCCTGGCGGCGGGATGACAGGAAGATCCAGCTCTAATTCTTGAGAGACATCAAAGAGATTGCTAAACTCCGAGCCCGGAGGCATCTGCGACAAGGAGCGTGAGCTGTCTTGAGCAGCGGGTGACCTTGGCGCATTGGTCTCTGGAGAAGCAGTTGGCGAGAATAGTTCACCCAGGGCGGGCCGTTTCTTGACAAGTTTGGAAGTACTTCCAATACGAGGCATCGAGGAGCTCGACGCGTTACTATCATCCGAGCCAGCACGTTTAAGACGCTCCATGAATGCCCCATCTGTGGGCACCGGTGAGACTGCGCTCCGCTGCGAAGCAGGCGCAATAGGAGAGGTGGGCCGAGCCATTGATTGAAAGTCTTGATTTGAGTCAGATTCCATCGACTGCTCGGGACTCAGGACGCGGTAGGCGTCGCGAGAGAAGAAGCGGACATTCTGGCCTGTCCCCGGCGTGTTCTTCTCGCGAAGAATAGAGCGCACGGAACCTGACTTGTTCTCGAATGCGGTGGCAGGTGTTGTTGGGCGCTGCTGTTCATACTCTGCAAGGAAACGCGATTCGTCTGCACGGGAAAGAGAGCGGAATGATTCGCCCGTGGGCGAGCGCAGTGCTTCAATGGACGGGCGTTTCAAGAGATTGAAAGAGGAGCGCCGGGTAGATGAGGATTCAGGTGGAGGAATCGGGGAAGAGGGTCCCAAAGACAGCTGTGAGTCTTGAACAGTCTCAAACGGAGTACGGTGATGGAAGTGAGGAGAAGCGTACTGTTTCCATGTACGCCAAAGGTGCTCTTAACTTTCTTCGACAGTCCCTTCATCGGCGATGGTGCTCTCTGGTGCTCTTCATGGCGCTTAAAAACGTTCATACGCCCGGATCTTGACGGAGAAGGGGGCGGACTGGGATTTGGCTCGCCCCGGTCGGCTGAACGGAAGACGGAAAGGTTGGGATGCTGCTCGAAGACGCTTGACATGACCTCGCCATGAGATCCAGCGGGATTAAGATGTGCAGTCGGGTTCGGGGTGAGAGAAGCCGACTCAGCGGGGGCCGCTTTGGACTTCAGCGCCGAGCTAAACTTGGCCCACATCCTGCGGTCGTTGTGGTGAGCGTTGAGGTCAAGCTTTGTACGACGTACTCAACAAACAAGGCAAACAGCGCGTATCAACCACACGTGATCGTGACGTTCTCAATCGCGTGACTGAATATATGATGTCATTGAGTCCATCAACAACCTCGACTATGAAAGCGATCTATAAGTAAGGTAGTCGTTGTGTATGATAGTCCTATCCTCACTCGCATACAATCGCATGCTTGCTCCGAGCGCGAATCGCCCTTCCAGATCTCATCAATACAAAGGGAATCGGCGCCAACAGGACCGCAATGCCGCCAAGGAGCGATGTTGCACCCTGGACTGTGAGGTTGTGGTACATCTGGAGGGAGAACAACGGGAAGACGCTGGCAACGAGCGCGCGACTGGCCATTCCCGCGGCAAGTGCCGAGGCGGCGGTCATCTGGTAGCAGTCAATCATGTAGGGGATCTACGAGAGCGTCAGCGTAGGAAGGCTGAACGCAGCAAGCGCAGCGCACAAAACAGTTGAAGATGAGAAACGTGCTCCAGGCGAAGATGAACTCTGCGATGCAACAGGCAATCCAGTGCACACGGGGATAGGGAGCCGTCCATGCAAAGATGAACAATGATCTGGGTGGACACCGGAGTCACTAGGGGTTGCAATAGGTTCTAAGCACACTCACATGGGAGATGCGACTGCGCCCCAACAAGTCAACGTCAACCGTACTTCGGGCTCCATCGGCAGGCCTTTTGCGGCAGCCTTCTTGGCAGCCTTGTGATAGTCGTATTCTTAGAAAGGTTCAGTCATCTTGTTGAGGACGGAAGATGCTCAATGCCAACTCACGTCCGACAGTGGCAAGAAGAATGGCCGAGACGACGAAGCCTAGTCCGAGGGAAATGTAGGTCAAGCCATAGGAAGTGGTCTTGAATCCTCGGATCTCGACATAAACGACACTGAATGTTTCAAAGAAGCCGTACAGAATTCCATAGAGCACGCTGAGATACAACGAGATGACCCCGACGATCGGTTCTGTTGCTGGGCATTAACACCAACATCCTGCAAGAGGGAGAGAAGATGGGTCGCTTGCCTGTCACAAGGTAGAGCACAGGTCGTGCCAAGGCAACTTTGTAGGTGGCAACAATCTTGGCAACAGTCAGCGCCGGTGTCTCCTGCCCTTGCCGCCTCAGTTTCCACCTCAATAAAGTGGGACCATGGGTCTCGGGTACTAGCGCGACTAGCAGGCCTATGAAAGTCCCAAAGATCGCAATAACACGCAGGTTCCAGCTGCGAACCAGCTCAGAAAACATGTCTGACCAGTGCTTTTCAAAACGTACTGGTAATTCGCATCACTCTGGATGAAGTTCGCGACAAGAGGCCCAAGGCAGGGCCCGCCGAAAGCCATTAGGCCGTCTGAGATGTTTATGAGATACTGCGCGTTTGTCTGCCACGAAGCACACACAGAGGGCCGTATACGCCCCGCGATTCGATGGAGATGTCCAGTCCCCAATGGATGCTGGTCCATTGTTGATGGACGCCGAGCCGAAGAATCCAGATAGAAACCGAAAGATCAAGAGACCCGCTGCGCTCGGTGCGAAGGCGGCACCGAACAAGAACGCTGCAGCAAGATCATGATTAGTGGAGAGAACTTGGTGGGGAGAGGCGGAACTAGTATTCACCGCTGTAGAACACTGCGGTGAATCGGTACACTGCCTGCCTCCCATATAGCTCCGACGCAGGGCCGAAAATGAGCGGCCCGGCTGCAAATCCAAGACTGGAATGTGCGTCAGTTGGGACAGATGCTGGTAGACAATGCTTACACTGTGAGGCTTACGCCCAGGAGAGCAACTGCGTAGACTGATTCGAGCTCAAGGACTGGACACAGAGTTTGACTCACCTTCCTCTGAGATCCCGAACCGCTTCATAAGTGAAGGAATGCTGGCAACCTATGCCAAAATATCAGTACGAAGGCCAGGATCAGCGCTGCTCCTCACATATGCCGTCGACGAATATGTGAGCGTAAGCACCCATAGGCAGATTACAAGAGTGGCTGTCTAGTAGCCCGAAAGTCAATTGAACATGGAACGACCCAAATCAGCCCTTGCATACCACTTTGGAAGCAGTGCTCCAGTTGCGCGGATCTAGAACCGATTCGAATCTGATTAGATAGCCCGTCCGGTGAGATCTCCGACGCACTTTCTGGATCGTCTGCAGCCAGCGTCTCAGGCATAGGTGCCGGTGTTTCCTGCGCGTCAGATTTTTCTCCCACCCTGTCTTTACCGTCCTTGAAACGCGCCTCCAAATCGAGATCTCCCGCGAGGTTCGTCGTCGTTTCCGACGCACTGGAGGTGGATGCTGGCCTCTCTGCAGCAGCAGCGAGAGAGGACATCGTGGGGTAGAGTAAGATCACCTGAAAGCTAAATCCGCGGGCTTATTGTACTAGTGCTCTCAAGGTTCAGTTCGGAAATCGGTTCGAACCTGAACCGGACCGAACTGAACTCGAGTTCGGGGTTCAGGTTCGGCCAAATCCGAGGAGAGGCTGCCAAGGTCGAACGCGGTTCGAACCCGTTCGAACCGCCAAACTGTGTCATCGGGCTTATTTTCTTGCAGCTGGCCGGCCTTGCACGCGGTGGCATATGACTACATACAATGTGTTCTATAGTAACCAAGCATGTGCTTGGTCTGATCTGGTGCTCTCTGGTGCTCTTCATGGCGCTTAAAATGTTCATACGCCCGGATCTTGACGGAGAAGGGGGCGGAATCGGATGTGGCTCGCTTCGGTCGGCTGAACGGAAGACGGAAAGGTTGGGATGCTGCTCGAAGACGCTTGACATGACCTCGCCATGAGATCCAGCGGGATTAAGATGTGCAGTCGGGTTCGGGGTGAGAGAAGCCGACTCAGCGGGGGCCGCTTTGGACTTCAGCGCCGAGCTAAACTTGGCCCACATCCTGCGGTCGTTGTGGTGAGCGTTGAGGTCAAGCTTTGTACGACGTACTCAACAAACAAGGCAAACAGCGCGTATCAACCACACGTGATCGCGACGTTCTCAATCGCGTGACTGAATGTATAGATGGGGCCTTCCGAGCGGACCTGATTGTTGAAGGATGGACGGATATACTATGGAAACCCGGAGAGGTCTGCTAGGCCCACGGACACTAACGCATATGTCGGTCCGGCCAGACCCTCTGATTTGCACTAAAATTTTCCGCTCAGAGGCCTTGATTTGCACTAAAACGGACCGAGATCGGATAAAAAAAACCTGATTTTGCCCTATCATAGCTATTTTTGGCTTCCCAGCGCCGTTTTCGTGAGCGAATGCGGAAGATTCGGACATATTATCTTCAGATAGCATCGCGACGTGCGCTATTTCGGGTCAAAACCTGCCCACACAGTACATATTTAAAAAAAAAATCGCGAAATCTGCCCGCGATTTGCACTAAAACGGACCAACGTTCGGGCCCAAGGGCTTGATTTGCACTATATCAGGGACCGACATATGGTCCTTTTGGGGCCTTGATTTGTACTATTCCGGACCGACATAGGCGGTAGTGTCCGTGGGCCTGGTCTGCTCACGTCAAATGGTTATGCGACGTTGATCATTGATAAGCGATGTCAAGACTAGGGAGGTCTGGAGAGTCCTGCTCCTCGGCAATGATAGGCGACGTCGTTGTTTGATGCGGGGACCCCCGGACAGCAATGTGCCGTGACAGTACGTATGGAAACGTTCAGTATTGAGTCAATTTAGCTTGCTCATAGGTAGCTCACTAGTCCTCTAATTCACTGAGAAATATATCTCCCAGGGAACAAGAACAAGACCCCTCACTCCGCCGCCATTCCCGTAGTGGCTCAATCACGTGATGAAAATAGTTATGTCAACTGTGCACGCATTAGGGGCAGTCAAAGTAGATGATTTGAGCATGATTTGAACACGTGATTTCGAGCCGATTTGACAAAGAGTCAAAATTGCGATTTGATCAAATCGAGTCGAATCCGTGAAGCGCCTCTGGAGCTGCTTTGCAAAACACTTTAGCTTCAGCTTCAGCTTTGACAGTTGTTGTGATGATGCACTTGATAAAAAAAAACATGATTTGCAACTGTTAACTGTTTGTCTATTACTCCTAACAGCCTGATGGGCAAGTCCAAGTCTGCTACTGCAACCCCCAATGCCCCCAGTACCCCTGCACAGGAGACCAAAGGCTGGAAGAAGAGAGGGTTGAAGAACGTGGAAACTGAGCCACCTGTTAGCACACCAGCTGTGACCGAGTCCGCTGATACCTTGTTAGAGGCAGCACTGGCCGCAGCAAATGCAGCAGGAGACATGGAGTATGTTGCAAACATCTTTCCGCTACAGCGTTCCCTGAAAGAGTATCAGCTGGTCATCCGAAGATGGTGTCAAGCTCACCTTTGATATCATCATGGCCATTGATGCTGATGAGGATGCCAAAAACGCACTGTTCCCAGGACACGGGTCCAATCCTCGCACCAGCGGCAAGAGCAAGACTGTCAGGGGAACCCCCGCTTCGGACCGCTCTGCCTTTGATCAGGCATGTGATCGCGCTCGCGTGACCTGTCAGCTGTCACGTACCGTGGCCCGGACTGCCGCACCGAGCGCTTCTCTCTGATGGGCACATGGTCAGGTGTCCCATTTGTGACAATCAACCCAAAAACAAAGTCGAAAAGAGAAGTGAATTCGAAGACTGGAGAATACAACCAAGTAGCTACAGTATTTATACCCAAATCCAGTCTGAGTCATATCTACAACTAATGAGTCATAGGGCTATGTACCACATGGAACGCTGGTCATGGGTTGTAGTAGAACCTTCCGGAGCATACGTCGCGCAGCCTTGAATTGATAGAGATAACCCCTGGAACCCCTAGCCCGGACCGTCTGATGCCGTGATCCGTGATAAAATAAGTCGTGCCAAGATAAGATAGGATCGTCGATGATAAGATGAAAAAGAGTCGAATTATGACATTACCCCCTCTCTAGGGTCGATGTCCTCATCGACTAGGCCGATGGGCGTGAAGACGTTTTCGTACGGATCGAAGAGTTGTCGCTGGGGGTATGGAAGGCGCTCGTCTTTGGGTTTGTAGCGATGGATGAGGTAGTCCCAATGTCCGGCTTCGAGAGTTGGCAGGAGGCGAATGCGTGTGTCTGGGTTGGATTGTTTCCTCTGCCAATCTCTCAGGACCTTCTTCGCGTGGGTAAGGTGACGTGATGGTTCCCAGGTGTTCTCGCTGTGCGGCCATCCCTTCCATTTGACCAAGTACTGTTTTCCTCGGCCGACGTTTCGCTCTTTCACGATCTCTTCGACTTCCCACTCCTCTGCTCCTCCGATCATCTTGGCTACAGGCCTCTTCTCTCGGCGATGGGGGGGTGGTTCGTGATAGGGTGTCAACAGTGACTCGTTGAACACCGGATGTCTTCGGTCCGTGTCCGGTAAATCCAGCTTCCATGCGGCCGCTCCAACCTTCTCCAATATCTCGTATGGCCCTAGTCTCTTGTCGCTCATCTTCTTTGATGGTCGATCCGTCTCGATATTTTCCCCTTCTATGTACACCTTCATCCCAACCTTCAACTCCGGAACTTCTTTTCTTTGTTTATCGTAGTATTTTTTCATTTTTTCTTTTGCTTTTTCTAGTGCTGTTTTTGCTTCGTCTTGTATTTCTTTCATTCTTTTTACAAATTCCTCCGCCGACTCGTTTCTCGACTCCATCCGTTGCTCCACTCCCTTCCATGGGTGATATCCGTGATTCGCATAGAATGGCGATATTTTGGTAGATGTGTTCATTTTATCGTTATATGCGAATTCTGCCATCCCTAGCCACTCCGACCAGTCCGTTTGATGGTAGTTGACGTAGATGCGGAGATAATGCTCGATCTCCTGATTCATGCGTTCTGTCTGCCCATCCGTGATCGGGTGATATGCGGTCCCCGGATTCATTTCCACGCCCAACATCCGATTCGTCTCCCTCATGAAGCCCTTGATGTAACGCGAATCCCTGTCGGTGATGATCTTGCGAGGGATCCCGTGGTAGCGGAAGACTCGGTCCCTGGTTAGTCGTGCCACTCCTTCGCTGCTGATGTCAGTACTAATTGGTTCGACATGGATCATTTTGGTGAAGGTGTCACACCACACATGAATTGCGTCATACCCGTTACTGACCGGCAAGGGTCCGATTTGATCCATGGAGATGATTTCCCACGGCGCGTTTGGAACTGCATGCGGGTGCAAACTCCCTGTCCTTGCTCTCCTGGTCTTGGTCCGTTGGCACGCCTCGCACGTCTGGATGTATTTCCGAATTTGGTTTCCCATCCTGGGCCACCAGTAGTTTCTTTCCACCATCTCCTGTGTTCGGTTGATCCCGGCGTGTCCGACCAAAGGGGTGTCGTGGTGTAGTCCGATGATTTTGTCCCGCAACTCCTCGTCCCTTGGTACGTAGAGCTTCCCATGGTACGTGATAAGCCCCTCTTCCTTCTTCCATCCGACGAGTGACTTCTCTACGGCCGCCTTGACGCTTCCATCAATTGATCGAATGGCCTTGATTTCATCGATTAGCTGCTGATCCTGTCCCTCGAATGTGACTTCTTGTGATCGGAAGAACTCGGGCTTCAGTAGCGTGACGTCCTTGTTGTCGTTCTTGCCCTGATCGTGATCTGCTCGTCGGGACAGGAGGTCCGCCTTGCGGTTGAGTGCGCCGGGTCGGTGTCGTAAGGTGAAATCGAACTCCGCCAACTCCGTGATCCATCGTGCTTGCCGTCGATTGAGCTTCTGCGGCTTCCGAAAGTACTCGAGATTCTGATGATCGGTGAAGATCTCGAACGTTTCCGTGGCTCCCAGGAGTAACTGCCTCCATTCGTCAAGTGATAACATGATTGCGAGCATTTCCTTGTCGTAGATCTCGTAATTTCGCTCGGTTTCGGTCAATGCGTGCGAAATAAATGCGATTGGGCGCCAAATGCCGTCTTGGTTTTGGCTCAAAACTGATCCTGTTGCCCCTTCCGAAGCATCGGCTTCCAGACGATATTGGCCAGTGTCATTTGGCAGTGCTAGGACCGCATCCTCCGCGATTCTCTTCTTCAATCCATCAAATGCCGCATGCTCATCTGCACCCCATGACCATCCTGCCTTTCCTGTCAGCCGTGTCAATGGCTTGGCAACCTCCGCGTATCCCCGGACAAAGCGCCGATAGAAGTTTGTGAACCCTAGAAACGCTTGGACTTGTTTGACGCTCTTTGGTTCCGGCCATTCCATCACGCCCTTGATCTTGACTGGGTCCATCCGCATCGAATTGTGTCCAATAATTACACCCAAATATTCGACTTCCGTGCGTTCGAACTCGCACTTTTCGGGCTTCAGGTATAGCTTGTGCTTCTGGAGTAATTCGAGCACTCGTTTCGTGATCCGCCGATGTTCGTCCAAGTTTTCTGTAAAGATCAGTATATCGTCCAGATAGACTACCACGTGTCCCTCGTTGATCAGTTCTCGGAGTATGTCGTTCATCATGTTTTGGAAGGTAGCTGGGGAGTTCGTGAGACCAAAGAACATGACCAAGGGCTCGTACAGTCCACGGTTCGTGCGGAATGCAGCCTTCCACTCGTCACCCTCTTTGATCCGTACGTTATTGTATCCCCATCGGATGTCGAGCTTGGTGAAGAACTTGGCGCCGCATAGATTATGGACCAGTTCGGAGATCAGCGGCAGCGGGTACCGATTTCGGATTGTCATCTCGTTCAGCTTCCGATAATCCTGGACGGGACGTAGTGAACCGTCTTTCTTTTTGACGAAGAAGAATGCTGAGGCCATGGGTGATTTTGATGGTCTGATTCGTCCGCTGGCCAGGTTCTCTTGTAGGAACTCGTCGAGTTTGACCTGCTCGTTTCGTGATAGCGGGTACACCTTGCAGTCCACTGCTTTGGAACCGGGTTTGAGCTCAATCGCATGATCCCAGGTTCGTCGGTCCGGTAGCGAGTCGAATGATTCCTTGGCAAATACTTTGACGAATTCCCGGTATTGATCCGGAATGTTCCCTTCGGTCATCCTCTCCTTCTCTTTTTCCGCTTCTTCTGCGAATTTCTGCGCCGGTGTTTCCTTCAGCCGTAGATCTACCTCCTTTCCAAAGTCGATCAGCAGGATCGATTCTCCCTCTTCCAGATCCGGTGCGCTCGTGTCCAGGTCGATTGCATCCATGTCAATCATCGCTTGGTGTTCCTCGTGACCCCTCATGTGACACCGTTCTGGGCATCGGCTGAATCTCATCGTTTGCTCCTGCCAATCCACCTCCGGGTTGTGTTCCGTCAGCCAGTCAAGACCAATGAAGATCCGGGCCTTCCCCAAGCACGTCAGAAGGAACGTGCGTGTCTCCACGTGAGGACCAATTCTCATCCTTAGGTCAACTTAATGCGTGATCCGGCCGCTGATGTTTTCGGTGTTGTCGGCGTTACGAGCCACAATGGGTTGGGGAAGTTCTTGGATATCCAGCTTCTCTGCCCGCGCGTAGTCGGTATCGATGCAGCAGGTGCTACAGCCACTATCGAGTAGCGCCTTGACTCCACGCGTCTTTCCTGAGTCCAGGCCTGTGATCTGGACATATACGTCCATCGAATGTCTCTTCCTTTTGGCCTGGTAGTTGCGCAATTCCTGCGCCAGTCTGCTGGGCTGGGGGCCCTTCTGTCTCTCGGCTGCCCATTTCCTTTGAACGGCATCCGGCACCCTTGTGCGTTTGGGTGCTTCTGGAATCCTGATTTCGGCAGATTCCTTGGGCGCTTCCTCCTTTTTCAAGGATTGAGCCTCCGGAGCGATGCTCCCCTTTTCGGTCTTTGTTGACGTGGTTCCTTCTCCACGAGCCATAAATACGTAGGAGTCCAAAATTAATTTATCCGCAGCTTTCTGATCCTTTTTACTTTGTAAATACTCTCTATTTAAAACTATTTTTCTTTGTCGTTCCTTTTCCATATCAGCAATGAGAAAATCGTGAATATTGGTACGTAATGAGTCCGAGATTGTATATGTATGTGTAGAATCGTTCATGTCTTTAATCGAAACAAGTACAGAAAAACGTCCATAGTCCGGACGCTCCACCTCCTTGGCTAGAGGAGTGGAGCGCTTCAAAAACCCTTCTCGCGCAGCTTCTCGGCGATCTCCTTCAGGAACTCGTTGTCCTTGTCCCCGTTCTCGATCTCTTCTAGCATTGTGGCCCGATTGAAGAACGTGCGCTTCTTCTTGGGCTCAGGGCAGTTCCGCGCAATGTGCCCAGGCTGCTGACAGTTGTAGCAGATGATATTGCGGCCACGGGCGTGGGTGCGATCGATCTCCATCGGAACCGGCTCATTGGCCGCTGGTCGGGCCGGAGCGGGTGCAGGTGCTGATGGTGCAGCCTGAGGGCGGAATTGGGGTGGAGGCCGCGGAGTTGAGTGCGCATAGGATGCCTTACGCAGCTGATCGCGCAAGGCATTGGCCTCGATGTTGACGCACCAGTTCTTGAAGGCACCATATGCCTTGGGCAGGGGGACGCCGGTGTTGTAGAGGCGGCTTGCAATTTCGCTGCTGAGTCCGCGCTCGAGGAACTCGATGAGGATGTTGTCCTGATCCCCCTTCTTGTACTCGCCCTTGTCATCGGTTGAGGCGACCACGTTGTACCCCGCGTCCGCAGCCAGCATTTCGAAGTCAGAGATGTAGTCCGCGAAGGACCGTCTGCCCTGGCGAAGGGCCATGAGTCGGGCGGCAGCGACTTGCTCTGCGTTAGAATCCCCAAAGGCCCTCTGAAGCTCCTCCAAGAAGCTTGTCGCGGTGACTCCCGCCTTTAGTCCTTGGAAGCCCTCGAAATTGTGCTGCTTCCAGTTCATCGCCCATCTTGAGGCGGCGCAGCTTGTGCCGCTCTCATTGCGGAGGTAGGACAGGACGAAGAGGATTTTCGTCTCGTCCAGCGAGAACTCTGACCGATAGGCACCGATGTAAGTGGTGCACGCGTCCACAAAGCCCAGGTATTTGGACTTGTCGCCATCGAAGTGGGGGGGGGTTGGCAGCGAGAGTGATGCGGTGATGTCCTGACATGGTAGGAGCAGGTGCGGTAGGTGGGGGCGAGGGTGGCTGTTCGGAGGGTAACTCGCCAAGGTCGGGGATCTCGTCTTCAGGCGGCGGGAGGGCGAGGTAGGGGTTGGAGGGTCCGGGTTGGTTTTGATGCGCCAGATCGGGCGACGATGGTATGATGGGGGGAGGGGATGGGCTCCCAGATGACGATGGGAATCGGTACGAAATGGTGGATTCGTGTGCTGTACAAGCACTCAAGGAAAGGTTCTTTTGCTAGCAAAAAGATCCCGGGCCTAGCTCTTCACGTGCCCGATGATCCCGAGGTGCGTTTTCCCGAAGGTCTCCGCAGCACTCCTTGTAGCTACCGTAAGGCTTGGTTCGGGCTCAACGTTACCCGTGGCCTGGTGCTGTTTGCTCGATATGAACCTTTCACTGCGATCGCAGCGAGCAACTAGATGATTCGGTAAAAGGGTGAGTGGGGTGGTAAGGGTGAAGAGGATATAGCGGGCGTAGCGGTGCACGGAGCAGGGTAGGAGGTAAGAGGTACGAGGGTATGAGGGGAGTCTTCGAATTATGTGACAATCAACCCAAAAACAAAGTCGAAAAGAGAAGTGAATTCGAAGACTGGAGAATACAACCAAGTAGCTACAGTATTTATACCCAAATCCAGTCTGAGTCATATCTACAACTAATGAGTCATAGGGCTATGTACCACATGGAACGCTGGTCATGGGTTGTAGTAGAACCTTCCGGAGCATATGTCGCGCAGCCTTGAATCGATAGAGATAACCCCTGGAACCCCTAGCCCGGACCGTCTGATGCCGTGATCCGTGATAAGATAAGTCGTGCCAAGATAAGATAGGATTGTCGATGATAAGATGAAAAAGAGTCGAATTATGACATTTATGTAGGCAACAATTGATTTTATAAGCTTGGGTTGCTTACCACACATTTTGTTAAGAACAAAAGTTGTATAGTGGAAGGTAGAGAGCCAAAGCATTGCCAGATATCCTATTCAACATAACCCGTGGCTTACATCTCATCAAATTGGCCCATATCTCACATTCAGAAATATACTATGTTTTGAATTCATTCCATGTTTCTGAATTGTTCCAGAGTCCAGAACTCCCAAGACTTGATTCAAGCAATGTCAAAGAGTGTATCTTTCAGTTGTGTGAAGTTGGGCCCTTGTAGAAAATATATTTTGTGCAATACCCAAAGTGAATCATGTTGAAGTAGTCTCTACATAGGAACCTTACCCAACCATGGACTGTTTCGATGTTTCAAATTTCGAACAGACAAAGGACATGAATTAGCATTATATTTGACAAGAGTAGCATAGGGAGACATTATTCCGATGATTTTTGGCTGCATAAATGTAGGGAAAGTGTCAGAAGAGCAGAAAACACTGGGGTACGACCTTTATACAGGTTCTGATTGGCTAATGAGTTAATGTGTTCCGAGCTGTCACTTTACATAATATTACATATTTGGAGATGGCAGGGGCAAGTGCACCACTGCGGCGGGGGTGATGGCGGGGGTGATGGCAGGGGTGATGGCGGGGGTGATGGCGGGGGTGATGGCGGGGGTTGCAGTGGGGGTGATGGCGGGGGTGATGGCAGGGGTTGTGGCGGGGTGATGGCAGGGGTGATGGCGAGGGTTGTGGTGGGGGTTGTGGCGGGGGTGCCAATAGGGGTGGGCAGAGGTTTATGCACCCCCGCAATCAACCCCGCCCAAGCCACCGCCAGGATTGGATTCACAATTTTGGGTTTTCAAGCTCAAATGTATGGTTAAAATTGAACCCAGCTATTGAAATCCCAGTGGGATGATTTGGAGCTGCTTTTTTTGTTTTATTTGTGAAAAGTCACGTGATCATCTGCCTACCAACCGGCTACAACATACAATGTATTAGGAGGACAACAGAAACCATGCTAAACAGTGCAAAAAAAAAAGTCTCCAAAAAGTCACGTGATAATGCGCCCACTGTCCGCCCTGGTGTGCGGGAGGGGGCGGTAGTGACCCCGCCAACACCCCCGCCAACCCCGCCAACATTTTTGATTTCTCATGTGTTTCATCACGTGATTTTTTTTATCCCGCCATCCCCTGCCCATTTGTTGCCTCACATGATTCTATTTTTTCTCCCACCCATCTGCCTGATCTACAGGATAAATCACATGATATGTATTATCCCCCCCTCCTGACCCCTGCACATGACCCTGCCCCCTGCGCCCCTGCCGCGGGGGGGGTACCTACTGGGTACCCATAGAGCTACGTCTATGGGTACCCAGTAGGTACCCGCGGGGTCTATTATGTAATGATGGTGTTGGCATCTGGGGTGATCCCCTGCCCCATACCCTGCAAGCTGCAAATGCCTCTTTGCTTCAGATGCACGCTTATTCGGGTTTCCCTCCCTCTCTCATTGGGCGCTCAAATCCTGCGATTCAATCGCACCCAGAGCGATATTATTGCATATTTTTGATTCTTGGGGCACTTTCCGTTGTCTGACTACGCTGCAGGGTTATTTCGCGGTCAGCCCTCATTCTGGACAAGCAACAGTCTCCCCCCTGCAGCCTGCAGACTGGAGCCAGGTTTTTCGCTTGAATTCCAGCGCTTATTCGCTTTTCCCTCCCAGTCCTATTGGATGCTCATTTCCTGCGATTAAATCGCACCCAGTGCAAGATTATGGCATATTTTCGGTCTTTTGGGTTCCTGGCGTCTTCTGACAACGCTCCAGGGGTATTCCACGGCCACTCGTCATTCTGGATGGTTTTTCCTGGACCAGGCGCTGCTTGATCCCGCCTAGCGTCAATATTTACTTAGCATTTGTGCATATCGTGCATTTTTCGACTGTGCATAGCCTGCACTGCGCCTATCGTGCGCTGCGCATCTTCTGCGGCCCCCTGTCGTGCATATCGTGCATTTTTCGACTGTGCATAGCCTGCACTTGCGCATATTGTGCGCTGCGCATATTCTGTGTATTTTGGGTGTGCATATCATGCATTTTGAGTTTGCATAGCCTGCACTGCACATATTGTGCGCTGTGCATATTCTGCGCCTTCCCTTGGTGCATATCGTGCTTTTTCTCAACTGTGCATAGCCTGCACCTGCGCTCATTGTGCGCTGCGCATATTCTGCGTATTTTGGGCGTGCATATCATGCATTTTTCTACTCTGCATAGCCTGCACTGCGCATATCGTGTGCTGCACATGATCTGCGCCTTTCCTTGGTGCCTATTGTGCATTTTCTTGACTGTGCATAGTCTGCACTTGCGCATACTCTGCGTATTTTTCTACTGGGCATACTGTGCATTTTCCACTGTGTATAGCCTGCACCTGTGCCTATCATGTGCTGGGCATATTCTGCGCCTTTCCTTGGTGCATATAGTGCTTTTCTCGACTATGCATAGCCTGCACTGCGCATATTGTGCGCTGCACATATTCTGCGTATTTCTGGGTGTGCATATCGTGCATGTTTTGAGTGTGCATAGCCTGCACTTGCGCATATTGTGTGCTGCGCATATTCTGCATATTTTTGGGCATGCATATTGTGCATGTCGTGCATGTTGTGCAATTTTCGACTGTGCATAGCCTGCACTTGAGCATATTGTGCGCTGCGATTATTCTGCGTCCTTTCTGGCGTGCATATTGTGCACTCTTCGATCGTGCATATTCTGCGTATCTTTTGGGCATGCATATCGTGCATTTTGAGTGTGCATAGGCTGCACATGCACATATCATGTGCTACGCATATTCTGCGTCCTTTCTGGCGTGCATATCGTGCATTTTTCCACTGTGCATAGCCTGCACATGCTCATATTGTGCGCTGCGCATATTCTGCGTCCTTTCTGGCGTGCATATTGTGTATTGTGCACTGCGCATATTTTGCGTATTTTTGGGCATGCATATCGTGCATGTCGTGCATGTCTAAGGCTCCAACCATTTTGTTTTTGTTTACAGGTGGCCATAAAATAAACAGAAACGGTATTTAAACATTTATAAACAGTTTAAACCGTTTAAAACAGTTGCTAAACAATCTTTTTTTTGGCACAGAAATTGTATGCTGATGATGTATAAGTAATCTGCAAAGGTAATACGACAGACTACAGTCGGATACAGCTGGCTTTGAGCCACATCTTTGTCAACATTGCCTCCTTGATTGTTGAGGCCTTGAGGGAGCTACGGGTGTCCTGGCACACTTGTTAATGATTTTGGCTGATGGAACACGGGTGCGGGCAGGTAGCAAGGAGTGAACAGGAGTAGGAGCAGACATGAGTGGAAACCCAAGCAGTCCAGTCAGTATGGTCTGTGACCCTAATAGGGTACCAAAAGTGGTCGTTTTTTAGCCTTAAGAGGGTCCAAGACCACTTCGTGGTCTCAGACCAACCGCTTTTTGGCTACAACCACCCTTCCCAAATCGGGTAGCCAGGCCATCTGGACCACTGAAAAAGGGCGGTCTCGACCAGTTTTCGCCAGTTGGTCGCACCCATCCCCATTCAGCTCCTGGTGGTCAGGACCATTATTTGACCCGTGGTGGCACCAGTGGTGGTCCCGACCGCATGTGGTTGCGACCACCCCGCGCTTGCTCTGGTGGGTGGTTTCGACCCAGGGGAGCGGAATGTGGGCGGAACCACCCTTTCCTCAACCATTTGCAAATCCTCCAGCTACCCTTGCCAGCTGTTTGTATCGGGCTACTAGCTTGTAGACAGGCACTATTCAGCCTATTGCACGGCCGGAATGCTGGGCCCAGTCCCAGGGCCGGCCGTAGGCCGGGAAAAAAAATTCGAAAATGCTCCCATTTCCACTCCAGGCTGCTTGTA